AATTTTTTTTTCGTCACTATACTGGTTGTCAACCCTACCTATTTATAGTCAAACTTCAAGATCAATAAAATCTTACAAACCACACAAAAGCCCAAAACCCACAAAACAACATGCATGAACAAAAAAACAATCAAATATAAACTATTACAACATCGACAACCACAATAATATCAATTCAAAAATCAAAAAATAATATTGATGAAAAAAAATCAAATATAAAACTAATAACTTCTATCAATATACAACCAACAATTACTAACCCAAACAAAAAAAATCCAACATAACAAAAAAAAAAAACACCATGCACAAAAAAAAAAGTAATCCAAACACAAAATCATATTAAAAAAATCTCATAACTGTATAAAAAATATAATCTGCATAATACATGAGAAACAAAAACAATTAATCGAACACCATGCATGCATGAAAACAATAATGTCAAAACACCAACGACACACATTGACAAAAAAAAATCACCCATAAAAAAGAGCAAAAAAAAAATCAAAAAATTAAACATGAGAAGAAGAGAAAAACTCAATTGAACAAAGAATACTGTAAAAAAAAAAAAAAAAAACTAAGAAGAACAGTTTGAGCTTTCACTTGAAAAACACAAAATAGAGTAAAAAAAAAGAGAAGAAACAAAAACCAAAACTTAAAAATAATTTTCACCCAAAAATTACCCACTAAATTCTTTTTTAATACATTGTTGAGCTGTCCATAACAAATTTAATTGGGGACAACTTTTATTTTATGCTAGTAAGCATCTCATGCATTACTACAAATTTTTAATTCCTATTTTATTCTATATTATAATTTTTATAGACTTTTGTCACAATATATATTGAATGATTGAAACCTAAATAGTTTATATAAAAGTCTATTTGTAATAACAAATATTTCATAGAAGTTTTTCACCTGAAAATATGTAAAACCATTAATAGCATAATATAAATGTTTTTTTGTAGAATTTAAATAGGTAATTTTTCTTCATAGTTGTGGTGTATTTTTTATGTTGTCGTAATCAAACAAAAATCAATAATGAGTGAACAGTTGATTTTACATGTCACATGAATGTGTTCAAGTATAGGTAAGCATATAGCTAATATGTTTTTTGGTACCTTATACCTTTATAAAGTTTAGTCCTAATAAGCTCTTGATTATGCCTTATATAATCAAGTCATCCAATTTCAACATTGATTAATGCATCAACTAGTAGCTCTTGATTATTTTTTATGTAATCAAGTCTTAAATTTTCAACATTGGCAAATGCATTAACTAGATATTGATGAAACAGTTTTCTACCTTTTAACAATGAACTTTGATGTAACAACCATTACTAAATCAAATACTCATAATATTCTTTCATTGTGACATTTTTAGTTCCATTTTTTCTACCTTGAGAATTTTCAGTAATGTCCATTGGCACTAAACATCACAAATAGTAATTCAAGTAATTCAATTATAAAGTTAACAATAGCTTAGCAAATATTTTATTGTCATTTTTTATTTGTAATATATTCTTTACAAATTAAAGAAACTAATAATAGGTTATTAGAAAAACATTAAATATGCATATTTAAAAAAAAAGACACATTAATTAACATGTACATATTTTATGTCGAAATCATCATGAGTAAAAGTAAACTATAGTTTGAAAGAAATGTAAAAGATGGCAGAATAAAAATTTTTTACAAATCAATAGTCTAAAAAATCATGGGAAATAAGTAGGATTGTCTAGGGCTTTAAAATAAGAGAGTAAAATCCATGAAAGATACCATAGCAAAAAAAAAAAAAAGTAATATATTTAGTGTTGTCATTTGAAACAAAAGAATAAACATAAAATGGGATTAACAATTCAAACAATTATGAAAAAGCATAAATTTAAATGAATATTAAACATCAAACAGTTGCATTTTCATTTAAGACCAAATTAGCTAGCAGTTATCACAATTGCCAAAAATATCTAATACTAAAAATTAATCTTAAAATCTTTACAAAAAGCACATTATTCAAGATACAATCATGTATTGAGTTTTTGTTTAGTGCAATTAAATGAAATATAAATAGTAAAAGGATTTCAGAGATATTTACCTAATATTTGGAATAGAGAGATTGAATCTAATATGTGGTAAACACTTACAACAACTTACCAACAACCATTTAAAATAACATAATTACCATTTTTCTTAACATGTAAAATTGGTTTCATTTTTTTTGTCCCTTAATTAAATTTAATGATGATAGTAGCAAACAAAAAGAAAAAAAATCACAAAAACTAATTCATTAAATATAATGTTAGCTGCAAGATAGATTCCGAACATAATTCATTCATAATAATTGGGTTTAAATTTCAAAATAATGAACATATGTCTTAGATAAAAAGAAACTACAATTGGAATTAATGAAACAAAAGGAAAGTTTATTTTGGGTATACAAAGAAAGAGATTGCAAATTTCTAAAAGATTCGATTTTTACTTGAAATGGAACCTTTTCAAACAAGCCTATCTTAAACTTTTCTAAGCATACAATGAATTTTTAAAAAAAAAAATTAACATAGTTATGAAAAGTAAACAAGAAAAGGTTTTAAAGAGAATCACCTAATATTTGGAATAGAAAGATTGAATCTAAGATATTTGATGCGAGCTGCATTTGTTAAAAAAACACATAGATCAAGAACAAAAATACCAACAGTCATTCAAAGGACAAAGTTAACTTTTTTTAACAACATTTAAATTTGGTTCATTTTCTTTCATTACTTACTTAAAAAAAGTGATGACATATATACAACAAATGAAATGAAAAAAAGTTCATAGATGCCAAATCATTAAAATTTATGTCTGGTGCAATACACATTCCAAACATAATTGATGAATGATAAATGGATTTAAATTTAAAAATATTATCATTACAATGATATGAAATTTTGCAATAATTAATCGAAAGTAGAATGTATGACAAATAAGCCATCAAACTCATGTACATAATCTACACTAATTAATTAAATATAAAGAAGCTACAAATGAAATTTATCGGATAGAACGAAAGCTTATTCTAGATATTGAAATTTAAAAAAGCTTGTAAAGTATTAAAAGTTGGGATTTTTACCTTGAATGGAACCTCTTTAAAGCATTATAGTCTCATACCATCCTTAAAAATCATTGGCGTAAATGATTGGAAATGCCTCATGTTCCTTATTGCAACGGTTGGGCGGTAAACATTTTGATTTTTTAAGGTGAATAAGGTAGAAGAAATGAAGGGATTTGAGTTCCTTATTTGATTAGAAGATGAAAAATCAATTTATTAATAAATGCAATAAAAAAAGGAAATTGGGGAGAAGGTAAAAGATTTTCAAATCAAGGTTAAAAACTTTCCCTTGATAGGCTTTTTCAGATTTTGTATTTAGTGGATTCTTCTATCATTTCTTTCAAAAAACAAAAAATTTTCAGTTAACAAGAAATTAATGAGAATCAAACCTAGAGTGAAAAGAGCAAAAAAATTGAAAATCAATTAGTTGATTTTTATTTCAACACTCAGACTTTTTATGCAAGAAAATAAACTGAAACTTGAAAAATCAAAACATCATGACCCACATAATAAAAAAAAAAATAAAAAATAAAATTGTAGATTTTACATGAAACAACAAAATAAATGAAACATACAAAATCAAAACCTATATAATCAAACCTTAAAGAAAACCTTTTGCAATAGTCTCATACATGATAAAAAGAAAAATCTCAATCAAACGACAAAACTTGAGATAAAAATTTGACTTTTTAATGAAAAAAAGGGGAAAAAAGAATAGTTCAAGGAGAAGAAAATTTGAGAGAAATTGGAACTCTGGGCCCAAATGTTGTTGCTATCTTAGCCGATAATTATAGCTAGCTAGATGGTTTCCTTTCATTTAGCATATCGGTCATCAAAAGCTTAAGCCTTTTTTGTCATCTCTAATTCCAGAAGCTTCTGCTTTATATTTCCAAACAAAAAACAATTGCATAGACTTTTTACGAATTAACCATCTAATCTCATTTAATACATTACTGAACTGTTCCTGGTAAAATCAACTGAAGATGGCTTTTATTATATGTAATGAATTAGATTATTGATTTAGTTCAATTAAGTAATTTATGTTTTTAATCTTTTTAATTAAGTCCATCTTAATAATCCCATTATAACCTTTTACTTCTCATATCTTGACTAATTAATTTTTTTAAAATTTTATTTAAGTAGATCAGATGAATTAATTTTTTTTATTTTATCATTAATTTTTTACTTGATCAAATCATATTAGTAAATTATGGTCGTCTAATGGTGCTTCGTAACCACTCAATTGTTAAAAATTCTCCAAGATTTGATTACTTGGCAATGCATAGTTTTTAGTGTCTTGCTCTTATCCTTTCATCACTTTTATCTTTGTTAGACATAGAACATTGATTGATGTTTATGCAGCCAATCCAACCATATCCGATTAAGCTACTAACTCTCGGAATAAATTTTAGAATAATTTCAAATCTTTATTCCATTTTGTCAAAGATTTATCAAATTAATTCTTACCTAGATCGACGATGATGAGATATTCATTTGATCATTTAAATCTAGAAATTTTGGAATTTTTGGTGTGATTTTTGTATCCAAATAGAATAATTATTTTAATGGAATGTGGTGAAGGTTTTAGGTATTGATTGCTTAGGTGGTTACGGTGGTTAATGGTGGTAGGCGGTGGTTTACGCCAGGGAAGGTTGAGATGCTTGAAATATTTCTGGGAATTTTTGACAAAGCCAGAAAGAGAAGGAGGAAAAAAAAAAAGAAATGTTAACGGTTGGGAAACGGAAGTTATTTGCTGATTAAGCTCTTTGAATATGTCACTGATTTTAATTGGAGAACCGGAGGAAATGGAGCTAAGGAAATGCATGTAAGTTCTGTCCGGTCCGGGCCCGTCCAAGACTCAAGTCCGGAGGAAAAATGTTTAGTCATTGAGATTCAATGTGTCGGCGAAAAAAGTCGGTTAAAAAATTATGACAATTTGGACTGGACAGCCTCCATAAATGGAATTATAGTATTTTATTCATATATTCTCTTCATTGTCTGTGCTCTTACTTGTTCCTCTTCGTCCTGCTATTTCTATAAGAGATTGTTTGGACTCTCCTTTGAGTCATACTACTAGTTTACTTCCTTTCCTATTCCTCCCTCGCATCGCAATCAAAAGAAAAGAAAAAGAGATCTGATCCGATCTGAAAATGGGGGAGAACTGGGTGTTGATGAGAACGGCACAAACGCCTACTAACATATCAGTGATAAAGTATCGGGGGAAGAGGGATGAGTCCCTTATTTTGCCCATCAACGACAGCATCAGTGTTACCTTTGATCCTGCCCATCTCTGCACCACCACTACCGTCGCTGTCAGCCCTGCTTTCCAACAAGATCGCATGTGGCTTAATGGCAAGGTAAATTTCTATACATGTTACAAAAAAAAAAAAAAAAAAAAAAAAAAGAAGAAAGAAGAAAATGTTATATATGTTGATTGATCGATTGATGAGTGTTTTTTTGCTAGTTAGTATAGGAAATGTCCCTTTCTGGAGGAAGGTACCAGAACTGTTTAAGGGAAATTCGAAGACGGGCGAGTGAAGTTGAGGATAAAGAGAAGGGAATAAAGATAGAGAAGAAGTATTGGAAGAAACTGCATCTCCATATTGCCTCTTATAACGATTTTCCGATAGCTGCCGGATTGGCTTCCTCAGCTGCTGGTTTTGCTTGTCTTGGCACAATACTTACGTAAAAACATACATACCCTTCACCTTCTCTTTCTTTTCCTTTTTTCTTCAACGTTCAATACAATTAATGGGACTTCTAGTTTGAGTTCATTGCAGTTTTAGCGCTTGCAAAGCTTATGAATGTCAAAGAAGATGAGAGTCAACTTTCTGCTATTGCTAGGTATTGCCCTTTCATTTTACAGAGATGCTAGAATTTTAGTTGTAATTCAAGTGAGGTTTTATTGATTTTTTTTTTTCATATAGACAAGGTTCAAGCAGCACTTGTCGGAGTTTATTTGGTGGATTTGTTAAGTGGTTTATGGGAAAAGTAAGTTATGTGTTTAACAGTTCATCTGTATTGCCTTTCATCTTCCATCAAGAAGGGTAGTATCCTTTTGAGTAACCTATTTTAATATTTTCTTCTTCTTTAATTTATCTAGGAGGAGGATGAGGAGGATGGAAGTGATATAGTCTTGCGGTTCAACTAGTAGATGAGAAACACTGGGATGATCTTTTCATTGTTATTGCCGTGGAGTGTATTCTTTCCAACCCTCCCAATTAGCATTCTTTCAAGTATGGTTTACGGATTGCTACTCTGGAGTGAGATCATCCCATCCACCCCCAAAGAACTTAAAATATGCTTACAATTAGATATTGCAAATAATTTGGTATGCATCCTTTCTTATAATTTGGTATATTTTGATCATTTGAATGCTTAATCTCAGATAAATTTCTTCCCATGCTTTGCATCTACAATTTGTTTACTTATGTTTCCACTCTGCTTCCCCAAACACCTATTAGCTGTCTTCTTGTGCCTTCCGATTAACGCACACATGTCTATTTTGATACGTAAATTCGTATCTACTCCTTTTCATGCATAGTCAAAACGGTCAAAGAAATCGGTTCTAACTTTTATTTAATTTGAAATTTGTTATTTTTAAACTATTGACAAATTTGATTATACTTAAAAAATAATAAAATTATTGAAATGTTTTAGAAATATTTTCGTAATAATTTCAAAAATAAATTTTTGGGAAAACTTTTAACTTATAATTAAATATTTTTAATATATTAAAAACCTTGATTATACATTAAAATATATGAAATTATTAAAATACTTTTAGAGATATTTTTATAAAATGACTTTCTCAAAGTAAGAATTTCGTAAAGAACTTTAAATCATAATTTAATATTATTTGATGATTTTTAAAATTTTAAAAATTTTAATCATATCTTGAAAGTTATTTATGTAATTTAATAAATTTAAAATTTATTTTTTACGAAATATTCGAGATTATATTTTTAAATTATACAATGATTTTTGATATATTAAAAATATTATCGAAGTGTAAGATTATTAAAATATTTTTTAATAATAATTTTATCAACTCAAATATACACGTTATTAAAGTTTTTTCAATCTCTTTTTATCTTATAAAATATTTATCCTATGAAACCCTGCCACCGTTACAGTCCATGTCCAAAAGCATATTATACCAGCATAAGTTCCTTTTTTTTTTTGCCTACAAAAGTCAGTGTTTGCGATTGGATTTTTTGTATTAATTTTTATTTTTCTGGCTCTAGTAAGTTCACGGCAGAAGCAAACAAGTAGCACCTCTGTAACGGGTGCAAGTGTTGGAACGAGTTTGCTCTTACAGCATCTGTTTCTGTTTCTGTTTCTGACTGGAAGCTAGGGCCCAAAAAAAAAAATACTCAGAAAGTTGACTTTCCAAGTAAAAGTTGTGGGTTTCATGTAGCGAGTCCTTTAATTAAAATCCTTATGAAGCCCTATTCAACTTTTCTTGTGGAGTCATACCCACTCCCCTTCCCCCAGTAGAATTCGCTTGGTATTTTGTTCATTGAGATCAGGTTTTATTTAGATTTTATGATATATGAAACTCATCTGAGATTGTTTAAAGTTGTATTCATTCATGGCTTTCTCGTTGCTGTTTTGGACTGTACTAGGAAATTGTGCCAAAACGCATGTTATAGATGGAAGAAGCCATAAAAAATCGTGATTTTGCATATTTTGCACAATTGACTTGTGCTGATAGTAACCAGTTCCACGCAGTCTGCTTGGATACGTGTCCACCCATATTCTACATGAATGATACATCTCACAGGCAAGTCTTGTTTTACCTATGCTTATTCCTTCTAGGAGTTTCATACTTAAACTCTAGAGTTGAGTTTTGATGAAATGCCGATCTTTCAGGATAATCAGCTATGTTGAGAAGTGGAATCGTTCTGAAAAATCCCCTCAGGTTTGCTTATTTCTACCATTTTATTTTGAAGTAAATGACTTTAATCTTGACAATTTATTGTGTAATCAGTAATTCTGTTATGTCAAGAAAGGTAGCAAGACAGTTGTAAACTTTTGAAAGGACAATAAAACGTGGGAGTTGCAAGATACCTGTGAATCATTTTGTTTGTTGGGGTCCTATTTATTGAGTATATGCCGGAGACAGTGGAATATGTATGCTATCTTGATTGGAGGTTCTGGGCTACATTGTGCCTCTAAAGAGTTATATTGATTGCTTCATTTGTGAATCATTTTGCTTGTTCAAGCCTCATACAAGAATAAGTATGATATTTCTAATATAATTTATCGGTGTAATGATCAAGCTAAGACATTCATAACTACTATATTTCCATAATGGTTTAGTGGTGCAATTATGGATTAATTAATTTGTTGGCTGCTTTTCTACTTCCCTCCAAAGTCTGATGTTGACCTGGACAGGTAAATGGAAATACAGGTGCTAAGAGCATGATATCGGAATCAGATTATTGTAATAGATGTGATCATAAAAAGAAAAAGATCCACTCATGTATCCTGTAGGCTCTTTTATCACTGCACAGTAACCCCCTTTTCCTCCATGAAAGAATTCTCAGATATTGACTTTATTTACTTTTCTTTTTCCCCTTTCTATTCAGCTATTTTATAGGTGATAAGTCGATACTACAAGATGCTGGACTTGAGGGGGTGAAGGATGTGGAAGCTTTATCCCCACCTCCTGAAATTAAGGAAAATGCTCCAGCCCAGAAATACGCTGGGGATGTCAGTTACTTCATCTGCACAAGAACTGGGAGAGGCACTGTTCTTCTTTCACATGAAAATCTGGCTCTTCTTGACCCAGAAACTGGACTTCCCAAGTAAGAAGTTCCTTTCTGGAGTTGGTACCTTTTCTTCTAAGGAGATTTGAATGCCTCTGAGCTGTATAATGTCAGTTTGGTTGTCTCTGCAGCTTGTTTTCCTTCTATCATGTATTTGTTGTGTTTTTCTCTTTCTCTTATGCCCCCTATCTCCAGTCGGGATTTGTATCCCCACCTTAATGGAAACAATAATGAATAATTGCTTCATTGTTCCCCTAAACCTTTACTATTTCCTTTGTAATTTCCAATTGAAATGCAAAAGACTATTTTCCTGCATTTGAGATATAAGGGTTTTGAGTTTTTATTTTATTTTAAAGGTATGTTCAAACACAAGGTAATGTATGCTCTTATTATTTGCATTTTCTATGTTTGCATGATTTTTCTTGATTAAATAGGGATAAATTCATAAATTAATGTTTGAGTGGCGAATTTTTCATGGATAAATTACCAGATTAGCCACTAAAGTTTTCAGATGTTTTTATTTTGGTCATACAACTAAAAAAATTTTTGGTCATTAATGTTTATAAATTGTTTTTTCTTTTTACCACTGACGTTATGCTAGGGTATTAATGTCACATTATTTGCCATTTGTCACCGGACGTTATTAACTAAACATAAATTTTAACCCAAAAAAATGGATATTAAAAAAAGACAGATTAAAGTTTTGATCACTTAAATTATTTTAAGTGTCTCGGGCTTGAACTCCGGCCCAGGTAGAGTCCGGCTTACAAGTCGAATTGAGTAATTCAGTCCATTAACAGGTCTATTAATACAAAATGTAAATAAATAATTGGATTAGGTATTTCGCTTCTTTTTGTTCGAGTATTTATTTGGTGGGTTCAATTAATTTTAAATCAAATTATTTAAATTTAAAGTAATTAAATTATTTTATTTTATTTTTTAATTAAATTAAAATTTTTAATTTAAAAAATTAATCAATTAAAATTAATTTAATTAGTTTGATTTTTTTAATTAATTTAATTATAAAATATATTAAATTAAATTATATTTTAAATTTTTGTTTTCTTATAATTTTGATCAATTTAATTAATTTTTTTATTAATCAAATAATAAAATATATTAAGTTAAATTATATTTTAAATTTTTATTTTCTTATATATTAAATAAATTAACTAAAATCATCCACTAAAAATATTCATATATCAAAGAATTAAGTTAAAAACTCTGATAACTTGAAATAAAATTAACAATTTCATATATTTTTTTAGTTTTATATACAAGTTTTATAATATTTTAACTAATTTGATTTTCAAATCAAATTATCAAAAAATAACAAATTTTTAAAAATTGTTTTCATTAACTAACTAAAATTAATTTAATTCTTATCAATTAATCAAATTAAATCAAATTAAAACCAAATTAAAAACAAACTCTATTGAGACTTTATATTAGCTTAGCAGGATAAGATTAATAAAGTTGCTAACGACGTCGTTTAATGTCAATGATATTTAAAAAACCCTTGATGCTACGCCAAGTACTCCTAGGGTCCTAGTATATAAAAGCCGACGGACTACTATTTGTTCCCACTTTTTGTTTGTTTTGTTTTTCCCTTTACTTGCTCGTCAATCCAAACTCGGAAGTCGAAGAAAGCAAATGGCAGCCTCAGCTATGGTGCCGGAACCGAAACCCTCGGCGGACCCACCGTTTCCCGCCACAAGATCCGACCTTGGCCAGTACCTGATGGTGGACCCCACGGGTGCCGACGAGGACGATCTGTACAGCAGGTTAAAATCACTTCAAAGGCAGTTGGAGTTCATAGATATTCAAGAAGAGTACGTGAAGGACGAGCAGAAGAATCTCAAGAGAGAGCTGTTGAGGGCGCAGGAGGAAGTCAAACGGATCCAGTCGGTGCCCTTGGTCATAGGCCAATTCATGGAGATGGTCGATCAAAACAACGGAATCGTGGGCTCTACCACGGGATCCAATTATTATGTGAGGATATTGAGCACCATTAACAGAGAGCTGCTAAAGCCGTCGGCTTCGGTGGCTCTTCACCGACACTCCAATGCTTTGGTCGACGTGTTGCCTCCGGAGGCCGATTCCAGTATTTCTCTGCTTAGCCAGTCCGAGAAGCCCGATGTTACTTACAACGTCAGCTTCTAATCTTTTATTTTTCTTCTTTTTTGATTTGTTCTATGTTGAAATTTGGTATTTGACTGATTTATTTGGATTTAGGGTTTTTCAATTTGCGACGATTGGTTAGGGATTAGGGTTTTGCTTCACTTCTATTTAAAGTAAGGGATTTTGGGTTAATTGTTGGATATGGGGAAATTTTAAACATGGGTTTTGTGATTGTTGTCAATAGCATGTTCATTCCTTTCGTTTTCTGGTTGCTACTATGCTTAAGTTGAATACTTGTTTAATTGATTTATTTGGATATGTAATAAAATTGGGGCTTTTCTGCTGTCTATTTATGCCAGAGTCAGGATAATAAATATGAGATTTTGAGTTAATTATAAGACAAGGAAAAGTTTGCAAAAGGGTTACTTTGTTGAAAATTGTGATACACATAGCTCAAAACTGCCATTGAAGATTCAGAAATTGATTGCCAATATTTATTAATTATCATTCAGTGGTCAGCATTAATGCCAAAAGAAAAATAGTTGAATATGATTTGAGTCTGTTTTCCTCTTTCATTCTTAAATATTTGATGTTTGAGTTTGAGGCTATGGATATATTAGACATATTTTTAAGTTTTATGAGCTCCTTTGTATTTACTTTTTGGATTTAAGCCTGGCAAATATAGGCTATGCCTCAAGCTGGAATATGAAATGGAGTGAATTCCATATATTGCATGGGGAAATTTTCTTAATTGATCTCTTTCTATGTATCAAACAATGATACTTCACAATTAGCACTAGTTGAAGGATAGTGGTTTATTTCATTTTAAAAAGTGCTTGTTGCTCCAGTGATATTCTGAGTATCATGCAGGATTTGTAGTTGTCCATGTGTTTTTGTAATCTTTTAAATCTACTATTATATGGAATATGCCATATAGTTTTCTCCAATATATTGTGGGGGAATCTTTGTATCACTTTTATTGTATGATTGATACTAGAAAAAATTTACTTGTTAGTAATTTAGTTGCCTTATTTCTGTTGAATCGTTCGAATGTTCTATTATATTGATTCCTTTCTGTACCCTTTGTGCTACTGATAGAGAAGTACTGGATTTAGATTCATCTTTCAACTATCAACTGAATTGTGTTCATTCTTTTATTATTTTGATTCTTGGATAGAGATTCTTATGTTAGGGTTAGTCTTCTGCTGTAGTACGTTAACCAGACACTCTTTGAGTACATATCTTTTTTTCCTTGGAATAAAAATAACAATAGTTATGCTTTTGGTGGTTGTTTTCGGCATCTGAAACTTTGTTTTCTTATCTTAGGATATTGGAGGATGTGACATTCAAAAGCAGGAAATTCGCGAGGCAGTGGAGTTACCATTGACTCATCATGAGCTCTACAAACAGATTGGGATAGACCCTCCTCGTGGTGTTTTACTCTATGGTCCCCCTGGCACTGGGAAAACCATGCTTGCAAAGGCTGTTGCCAATCATACAACTGCAGCCTTTATTAGAGTTGTTGGATCTGAATTTGTTCAAAAGTATTTGGGTGAGGTAAGGGGATTTAGTAGTCATTTTTCTTTTAATTGTTATCATTGGATTCATCATTCACTAATTAATGTAAGACTTAGTTCCCTGCAGTGAAACTTGACTGTCCTTATTACTGATTTTGTCAATTATTAGCTGCTCTCTTCATCTTCTTCTTCTTCTTCTGTTGGTGGATAATAATATCTTGAGCATTACTTTATTTCAGGGCCCAAGGATGGTTCGTGATGTCTTCCGTCTTGCTAAAGAGAACGCTCCAGCTATTATCTTTATTGATGAGGTAGATGCCATTGCTACTGCTAGGTTTGATGCTCAAACTGGAGCTGATAGAGAAGTTCAGCGAATCCTTATGGAACTTCTGAATCAGGTATATATGACTTGAGGAATTTGTTGATGTATCAATAAAGATGCTGCATAGAATATTATCCTTCAAAATATATTAGCAAGTTGATATTTTAATTTACTATTCCTTTTTTCTGAACAATTGCTTTTGGGACCAACTTTTCTAGATGGATGGATTTGATCAGACAGTGAATGTTAAGGTCATTATGGCAACCAATCGAGCAGACACTTTGGACCCTGCTCTTCTTCGTCCTGGAAGGCTCGACCGAAAGATTGAGTTCCCTTTGCCCGATAGAAGGCAGAAGAGGCTTGTTTTCCAGGCAAGTAGGGCAATGTATCAATGCCTATGTCATTATTGTCTTTTTAGTTCTTTCCTGTGTGATTCATGATTGTCCTTAGTTGTGTATTTTTCTTTCATTCCTCTTTATCTATTCTCATTAGCTTGTGATTAGGAAATGTTACATTTTATTTTGTTGGTTGTGTTTAAGGTGATGTTTCCCTTGACAGGTTTGTACTGCTAAAATGAACCTAAGTGATGAGGTGGACTTGGAGGATTATGTTTCTCGGCCTGATAAAATTAGTGCTGCAGAGGTTAGTTGTGGCATACTATCATAGCTTCCTATTTGTCCCTATCTAGTTTAGGTTATTAATCTTTTTCACTCATTATTTGGCATGCCTTCTTTGATTCAATGCAGATTGCGGCTATCTGTCAAGAAGCTGGAATGCATGCAGTTCGCAAGAACCGATATGTCATACTTCCCAAGGATTTTGAAAAGGGTTACAGAACAAATGTGAAGAAGCCTGACACTGACTTTGAGTTTTACAAATGAAGAGATCTCGCAGCGCGGGAGAAGTTTGTGAATGCTGATCTTTGTGGGATTGTTACATTCAAACATTTGTTTCAGTATGGTACAATGCCACACTAGTCATAGAGTTTGCAGACTTGGGATTACAGCTATGCTATATTCTGAGAATTTTCAATTGGGAAAAAGAGCATGCCATTGATGATGCGAAACTACTGGTCGACAGATCTTTGTCATGGAAATTTTCAAGATTAATTAATGTGGCTGATGTATAAGCAATCAAAGTATGAGATCATTCTCCTTGAACCTTTGCTTTAATTATGTGTTGTGGTTATTCTTTTATGAACATATATCGTTTTTTTTTTTTCAATTTTTTTGGAAAGTATCAGCAAAAAATATGTTTGGCAGCATTTTTTTTTTTGTTTAAAAAAATTGAAATGGTCACAAAATTATCAAAATTATTGAGAGTAAGAGTTTCTTGTTAAGCGTTGGTAATTGTCTTTAGATTTTAAAATTGTCTTTCTAGTGTCAAAAAATTTTAAAGACAATCATTAAGGACGTTTTTTCCAAATTTTATTTTGGTTAAATTGTACGATTGGTCAGTATTCTTAGGTTAAGTGTTGGGCTGAATCTTTATGCACAGATTTCTTTGTATAAATTGAGTTTCTCAAATTTTCTCAAATTTTATGCATTGTATGACTCGGTTCAATCAATAATGGATTCAAGATTTATGCATCAGTTGTGTTGACGTGGCATATATAAGAAGTAACTATATATATAAAAGAAAAAAAAAAGGCAACATACAAGAAAGGAAATAATTAGCTGGTAATATATTATGAATTGGAAATGTAAAATCCTCACCCTGCTAGCTTGTATTTTTATCATGGACGAAATAGAGTTTGCAATCCGAAAATTGAAGTTGTAATATTATGCTAATCTACAATTACCGACAAGAAGATGATTGTTGTTGTTTTAAAGAAACGAAATAAAAACTTTTTAAAAAGTAAAAATAATTGTCTGGAAATAGTTTTGACCGGAAAACTTTTGACACAAAAAGTGAAAAGTTGTTGATAGCAATAATAGCGGTGAGTCTCTGTCAGTCTCGTAACGCTTCGATGCTTGCTTGCATTTGCTGATAACATGATTGTTTTTCTTTCTTTCTCTTTTGACTTTTGAAGTTACAAAGCGAAGAAATGAGTAAAGCCACTTGAATAATGTAATCCGCTAGTCACGGGGAAGGGCATCTAATTTCAACTTTGTTTTGTAAGTTTCTCTCTCATGTTTTAGAGTAGAAGGATCAGCGCACGTGTCAGAGGTTAATCTGGTTAATTAGGGAACATTCTTTTCTTTATTAATCTGAATTCAATTACTGAAAAGTATTTTCAAATAAAATTTTAAATGCATTAAAATTGTGTAGATTGTATTTTTAAAATTGTTCAAAAGAAATTTAAAAAAAAAAAAGACACATTCGGGGACATGTCTTACTAATTGATTAAACACATCCCTCTTAAATCCAAAACTCAAATGACATAATAATTCATTAACGTGTATAAAAGAATGAGTTAGCATTTTTTTTTTTTTTGAAATTAAATCTAGACAATAAAAAATAAAAATAAAAAAAAGATGAAGAGGACTGGACTCTTGAATCATGATAAGACAACGGCATGAAAATCCAAATTGCTTTAGCCTCTAGGAAGAAGGAAGAAATGGCTATGACATATCGATGTGGTCCACATAATTACCGCAATTCATGGCTTGATGAAAGAAAGCTATGTTGATAACTTTAAGAGCATTTGAAATGCTCCTCCGCTTGGAATTTTCACTCCAAAGCTCCCCCACTAGGTTTCAATGGCTAACAAAGCAAGGCTTAAAACACATTTCACCCTCTTCTTGATCAGCTTGCTTGTTTGTTTCTTTCAGGGCAAGTCATTGTCGTGGCTCAACAGCGAAGAGAATGAAGTTGTTATGGTGCAAAGCAGGCATCAGGAATCGCCTAGGAGATGTGACTTCTCTGCTGGTAAATGGGTTTATGATCAGTCATACCCCTTGTATGATTCAAACTGCCCATATCTTAGTACTGCAGTTACCTGTCAAAGAAATGGAAGGCCGGATTCTGGCTATGAGAAGTGGAAATGGAAGCCAAATGGTTGTTCTCTTCCCAGGTACCTTTTTTAATATAATATAAAGTATCAACTTCCTGTTTTAGCTGATATTTTCACCATTACTACAGTCTACAAGTTCAATTTCCATCATCTGTACATGATCCTAATATAAATGAGAATGGCCTTGCATAATAAGAATGTACAACTTAGATTACTGATATATATGGTTTACTTGAGATTAGACATATAGCGATGCTGGTTCTGGGTTTGATTCTCTTTCCAGGACGCTTAGAACTTAGGTCAAGATAAATAATTAGCAGAAAAGTTCGATGGTGGTAGCAGGTGTGATGATTAACGGAGTCGGTTTTTACTCATTTTGTTGAAACTAGCTAGACGAAGGTACTCTTTTAACAATTATGCCAGACATTCAGAAACTTTAGTTTCTTGACCTTATTTTCTGATTCAGGTTTGATGCACTGAAATTTCTTGGAAAGATGAGAAGGAAAAGGATAATGCTGGTAGGTGATTCTATTATGAGGAACCAATGGGAGAGTCTAGTCTGCCTAGTGCAAGGAGTTATACCAACGGGACATAAAAAGGTGACCTATAATGGTCTTTCCATGGCCTTCCATGCCTTGGTAAGATTATATTCTGACTAAAACTTTCAATTCTGAATGTGAATCCAGAATGAGAACTCTTTCTTTTTGCCTGCAGCTCAAGAAAATGGTGCATTCAATTCTTTCTAATTTCCCCCTTTTCTTGTATGGAAATTGAATCGTAACATAACGTTGTTGTTTTACAGGATTTTGAGACATCAATTGAGTTTTCTTGGGCTCCACTGCTTGTGGAACTGAAGAAAGGACCTCAAAACACGAGAGTATTGCATTTGGATTTGATTGAGGAGAATGCAAGATATTGGAGAGGGGTTGATGTTCTTGTGTTTGACTCAGCACACTGGTGGACTCATTCTGACCAATGGAGTTCGTAAGATACATTTCACAACTATACTCCTCTCATAATATTTCTATAAAATTTCCATCTGAGCAAGTGTAGCTATGCATCTTTATTTCTATTGCTGAAGTTCGAAGGAAAATAAAAATTTCAATGAAATGTTTAAATACAGAATATTTTTCATTTTAAAATTTTCTCAAAGCTTTTATGCAGGTAGTGAGTACTCTGAGTAGTAATTGATGACAAAATTGTCTTCCAACAACTAATAAACAGGTGGGATTATTACATGGAGGGAAAATCTATATATAAAAACATGAATCCAATGATTGCATACCAGAAAGGACTCACTACATGGGCAAAATGGGTAGATTTGAATCTCAACCCTCGCAATACCAGAGTCATCTTTAGAAGTATGTCGCCTAGGCATAACAGGTATCAACAAATCCTAAATTCATGTCTCTTTCAGCTCCTTTATTTCTTCATGCTGTCTTAACATAGCTGATTTTTTGTTTCCATTGCAGACAAAATGGTTGGAAATGCTATAACCAGAAAACTCCCCTTGAATTTTTCAGTCACCCACATGTTCCTGAACAACTGCTAGTGCTAAAAGGGGTATTAAGAAGAATGGTATTTCCAGTCTATCTACATGACATTACAACAATGTCAGCTTTTCGAAGGGATGGACATCCTTCTGTGTACAGAAGGGCTTTGAACCAAGCTGAGAGGCAGCACCCAAGAGAATTTTCCTCCGACTGTAGCCACTGGTGCCTCCCTGGGGTCCCTGATATTTGGAATGAGATGTTGAGTGCACTGCTCTAAGAAAATAATAAAGGGTGAATTTGATCACTGTTCTATCAAAATGTAGGCTTTGTACTATCGTCAAGACAGAGTAGTCATAGCTTGTGCGCTGGTTGTTGTATGAAAATGTTTAAGAGAGAATGATGGTATGTTTGGCTTGTTCAATTAGTAACATCCTCAGTTTATTGTGTTGATCGAGAATTCTAGTTGCTTCATGTAATGTTTTGCAGATTTTGAATTTTTCGGCTGCGTTATGTGTTTCTAGGACAACATAAAATGTTGAACACCATATGTGTAGTTGCGAAGGAAGGTCTCATAGCTGTTTTGTGCACTGGGTTTTTCTTTTGTTTTTTTTTTTTTTCTTTTGGGATAATACTATCGAATACATCCAGGCTTTTTCTTGAGCTTTAATCCTTTCCCCGGGTGATTTTAAGAATGTACTCTCCATGTTGGCTTGGTGCATTTATTATTTTACTCTCGAAATCTTATTTGTGTAAAGTAACTGGTAACTTACCCATGTTGCATCACTGATTGAAATTTAACAGTTGTGAGCTTAGCGACAGTTCAAGATGCCTTTTCACGCTGTGTTCCTGGGTTGAAGAGACTATCTATTCCAGATAATCATGGTACCTAAAACAGACAGGCGAGAAGTAGCACTCATATTCTTTATTTGGTATATGCTTTTTCCAGTACAAAAAAGCTAACAATTTACTTTGCCTTCTCCAGTCAGAACATGACATGTAAAAGCCATTATCTTTGGAGTTAAGTATTCATCATTATCATTGGATGAGACAATTTTCCATCGTCTTCTTTCTATTAAAAAAAATTATTTTAAGAATATTAATAAAGGGAACACCTCTGCTTAATCCTTCAAGGGCCGTTACTCTTCAAAAAGAAAAAGGAAAATGAAACTGGTTCTATCAGAAACATAAAAATCGTGATAGTAATTCAAACCACCAATAATCAATGAAAAAGTTTAGAGAAAGAAAGTTCTGATAATCTGTTTAAAAAATATCTTATTGAGCACAGCATCATAATTCTTGTAGTTGGCATAGTCTTCTGTGTATGAAAAGCAAAAGCATTATTCATCCAAGTATCCAAGAGATAAATTATTCTATGTAGCTCAACTAGTGGGAAGCAAATTTTCTCTTAAGCTTGGCAATATCCTTAGCATTCAATCGAAATTCCTTCCCCAAAAGATTTCCTTCGATCCCGGAACCAAATACAGCATTTGGAGTTCTCAGCAAACCACGATTTTGGCTGTCAAAAATTCCCAAGATTGTAGCAGGCGTATCTCCAACATTCATTTGAAAGTGCAATGGCCCCCTTGGAAACACCATGATTTCACCCTTTTCAATCACTTAGGCAAAAATTCTGTTTTCTGTATCAATGAATCCTGAATAAACTCTTTCTTCAAGCACAAATGCTATTTCAGTCGCTCTTGGATGGAAATGCGGCACGTTAATGCCGCCAACTTCAAAATCAGCTCGAACAAATGACATGCCTATTGTATTCAAGCCTGGAAAGATATTAACATTCACTGGCTTAGCTGCCGAACCCGTTTCGCTGAATTTCCCAGGGAACTTTATGCCAGGGAACACAAAATCTTCCACTGTGGCAGCTGATAAGTTCTTGCATGCCGCAATTCCTGTGTTCGGTATACAAAAATCTTGAACTGGATCAGAGTCAGAATCCAAGGTCGCAATGGCATAGGTATGGAGCAAAATGACCAGCAAATTGCCGGTTTTGTTCTGAACTCATTTCAAACCAGAACAATTAAGAATGGGAAAACTGGAAAATGTTGCTTTCCAGGTTTTGGATATATAAATTAAGAACATAATTAGACTCTAATGCATGTGAAGCGCACACGGGAAAGGCAAGATTTCTGCATCAGAAAAAACAATTTGGTTCGCTTCAGGCTGTTGGTGGGTAGAATTAATACTTGTTGCCATACTTGTATATAGGCCAGTGCTTTTGCTTGGGGTCAAAGAAAAAGACGGTTAAGCTCAAAAAAGGCAGCATCAAAGGAAAAGGCTGATCAGCTTTTGAGTCTAGTGGAATATTAGTATAACCAGAGGTGAACCGTGTTTATGGCTTCGATTGTTGAACTAAGTGTACATCTGAAGATACAACGAGTCACTACACGGGCTGTTGGTATACACAGTTTTCATCAAGATCAGAAATCATTTTGTTAATTTAATATACAATCACAACACCAGCTGCTCGATTTAAATCTAGTCAGAAGCACCTCCATCAGACTAGATACGTCCTGGTCTTTTTGAAATAAATTGATTCCGGTCAGTTTTAACAAGCCAAAACTGATCAACTAGATATTCTATAGGGCGAGTGGATTCAACATTGTGCAGGGTATACAGACTTAATCACAATTAATAGATGGGAAGCCAAAGCTCCATATCACAAAAAGCAAACAGCTTTCATATAATTTACTTGTAATCAACATTTAGCTTTCATACGGGAAGCAGTCAGCATTAATGTGAAGTTTCAAGAGATCCCAGAATGCATTGGGCAACATGAATCTATAAATCTTGAAAAAAAAAAAATACAAGTTTGATATCCTTGAGGTCACATACGAATTGATACAAGAACCAGTACAGTTGGTTTATAAGGTACATCTTCAGGTATTAATAACTATCGATATCAGTTTCTGGCCTTCTAAGGTAATAACGCAGGCAGTTCACCAGCACCTGCGGGTTACACAGTAAAAGATATTTTTGAGAGAGAGAGAGGGAAAATGAGAGGGATCCAGCAGAAACATAAAATGTTTGACAAGAAACATGAATTTATTGTCCTTATTTTTCAAAATGCATTGCCACATCACAACTTAAATTTATTGGCTTTATTTGAGAAATAAACAAAAGTTGAAACTCAGGCAACCGAGAAAGAAAAATACGTTATTGACTTATTGTTCAGCAAATCTATTGTCACCATTAAAAAATACCTGAGACAAGGAACTATTTAAAGCTGCTCCTCTGTAGCTGACATGAAACTTGTCTTTTGCTACCAAGCCCTGTGAAGTACACAGAACAAAAGGTGGTGAAAATAGTTACAGAACCAAAAGTGTCTGCACACTGACACGGACACATAAAAACAAAGAGAGAGGGACACCTCTGTATCAATCTCTGCTGATTCCACATCTATGTTGATATCAGCAATGATTTTGATAATCTCTACCAGCAGTCCAGGTCGATCTGCTGTCTCTATAGAAAGCAAGCTGGTAACACATGGCACAAATGCATAAGCTGATTATCATAAAAGGAACCTATGTTCTACAAGTCCACAACCTAAAAAAAGCATTCATATCCAGTTTAAAATCCCCTAATATGTTGGTAATGTGTGATATAAACAGTGGGGAGTCATGAATTATGTATGAAATCCATTTCTGTTATAATTTATTTGGATAGCAGACCTCCTCTTGGGTCCATCTTCCTTTACATGTATATGAGTTGCAATGTCGATATCAAGCTGCATCAACAAATTAAAAGACTTAGATTCAAAGTTCTTAAGATCCCAATCGCACATAGCACATGCAACAACTCTTTAATAACTAAAAATAAGAAGGCATTCTCATTATTGAAACCTGATCTAATCCTGATGACATGGGGATGTGCTTTTGCTTAGCCCTCCCACCAAAAGGCATCCCAAAAAAGAATAATAAAGTGAAGACACCTAGTAATCGATTCTAGAAGTCGAGGGACAGAAGAACTTAGAAAAAGTACTTCATGAGGCTCCAGAAAGGAGGATAGGAAATACCAAACTTAGAAACGCATTAAGATTAGTTGGCCGCCATTCCATGTCAAAAGAACCTAACTAAATCTGTTCAAAGGACTTAGCTATGGCAATCAGTTTTGAATCAGAAACACTTTGAAAAGAATTAAAACACCATTTTGGCTCCTAATTAACTCGAAATATTCCCCTTGAAAACACCACTACTCACCCCTCCTGAAATAACAGTGAAAGGATTAAATTAAACAGAGAGTTTCTTCTATTCATAATGTCTTAAGAGGAACCAATTGCAAAGCTACCACAGTAAAAAATGTTTTTCCAAGTTTGTGCAAACTATATGGAAAGTTCAAAATAATGATGCTAAGCAGCAAACATCGTAATATTCATGGTCTTATAATAGTTTCTTCATGTTTATGTATCAGAGATAACAAGGCTGTCAGAGACAAATGGGCGTCCCTGAAATACCATGTATAAGGAACAAATGCACTCGCCTGAACAAAGGAAGAAAACTTTCTCCCAAAATTAAGTCAATGGATATTTTAGGAACTATGTGCAGCATATAGAACAGCAGAAATAACAAAGCGAACCAATTTAATTAGGTGAAAACAATTTTTCAAGCCATTTATCTTTAGATAACATCACCTTCTTCTCAGGAGCCTTTAATCCAAAAGCCTCTCCCATAGCAAGTTGCTCACTAGATTCCTGGCAAGAAATCAAATTCAAACCAGGATATGTAACAAAATCTAATGCATAAAATCAGTAAGTATAGAATATCTACTTTAAGTTGACAACTCAAAAGACCAACAACCTATGAGAGAGAAAGAGAGGTGGTGGGGGAGCAAGAGAGACTAAAAGCATGAATTCAGCATACATACTGGATGGTACTTCAAAAGATTATTTATAATGGTGAGCCGAATTCTCTCTAACATATCAGGATCTTCAACTTTGCGCCCAGTGTCTCTAGCATAACCAAATCAATTTATGAATGCTGATCACTCTGAATTAAACATTAAAAATTTGATAAAAATGCTCTCTCACACATGCATACACTCCAATCAAATTCCACTTACGTATTATCCCGCTAGAGTGAGAAAAACCATAAAATATTTAGAAGTCAAAAAGAAGCCAGGAGGAAAGATGATGACACAACAATTTAGTAAAACCTTACTGACAAATCCACTTTGCAAAGATATATTTAATGTCCAGCACATGATTGGCTTGATCTTTATATTTCAATAATTCTCACCAAAGTGTTCAACATTTGGAATTGATAAAAAAAAACATACAGGTTTTTGCTTGGCTAATTAGTGTGCTTAGAAACCATTCATGTTGTGGCAAAAATTAGTAGAATCAAGCAATATAAAAGAAATTCAACCTAGGAAACATGCCATACTTGACTTAAATACACAATATAATGATGGCAAACATGGTTAATTACATGTACATATATATTTTCCCCCAAGTTCTTTATCTTAAATTCCCTTGTATATTGAATTCCCAATGAATTTTGAAAAAAAAAATAGGTATTTGATTTCGCATATTAACAACTTTTTTGCAATTCATTAGCATATGAACCATAGTTTAGTCTACATAATCTAACTAGTGGTTTCAATAGGGCTATAGGGATCTTGGCCAACCATGTAATAAAAGAAATTAGGAATAGGGTCTTTAAAACTAGACATGGCTGCTAAGGTAGGAAGCTGCAACTATGTTTTAGTCAGTTTCTTTCTTAATATTAATAGTTCAGTCTAGACTCATATCTAGTTCTCAACAAACTGCAGCCGCTGATTTCTGTAATTATGATATATAAATATTTGCTTGCTTTACAATCAAAAGGCATACCATACATTTCTTTCCTTATTCTTTTTTTTAGTTAATACACATAGCACCCAAACTGCATTAAAGCATACACTTCGGTACCCAAACTAAAAAATTGTGCTTTTGGCCCCTTGAACTTTCAAAATATGTATCAAGTTAGTCCAACCACTAATTCATTAACCCTACCCACTTATGCGGCATCTAACTAATAGAATCACGCCACATGTTATGCCAATGTGTAATTAACTCTTTCTTTTGGATAGCATACATTTGATTTCAAATGTATGTATTGGGAAAACAAACAAGATTGCAATCAGCAATAATGACCACTGTAAAGTACTATATTAGTTAATGAATTCCCAAATGTAAGCCATCTTCCTTTTTGAGCATCAGAACTGCAGATTTATGCATTTTTGATAAGGGAAAACTACATTTTTATGAACAGAAGTGTCCAACTGGTAGTTTATACATCCAAAGGCAATGAGGCAGAGAACTTGAGAAAGTTGTGAGACTGGTCAAGCAAATGAATTATTATAAGTATTCAGCAACTGGTTATAAAACACATGGTCAAACAGGGGGAAGGGACAAAGTTATCAGTATTTGAAGGACTACTCACAATCGCGTGATAAAAAATTTTGTTTGTTTGACGGATCCTTCAGTGACAACAGTTCCCTTTGCCACATCTAATCCCAAATCTTTCAATGCCCTCATCTGCCCAAACATAAATAAAAGGAGAGTCAAGAAAATCAACAAGGAAAGAGAGAATTATCAGAAATTATCTTTTTACTTTTTTTTGCCCTAAAATTAAATAGCTAGGATCTATAGCCTCCCAGGATAATTAGAATTGGAATGAAGACCATTCATTAGTGTATAACAAGAAGACACTGCTATTAACATCCGTATTACACATTTTTCTCAAACATCCAAATTTACTTAATTAAGAACAGTGACCTAAACTCATGCAACTAACAACCAATATGTAACAATATTTAGGATTTCAGCATTTTAAATGCATCCACAAAATACAATCAGCTAGAAAATTAAACAAATTGAACTAAGGAGGTCTCTTACCTAAGCATAAATTACACAATAAAACAGATAAAAGATAAAAATCACTCACATCATGCCTCTACAGAGTAATTTAGTGCTCCTGCTTTACATGGAAATTTCACAGTTCAATCTTATGTAACTATTGGAGAATATTGAACATGAGGAAGCTTCTGCTTGTTGGCTAGGCGAATAATCTCAGAAAAATAAGCTTATAATTTTTTGAAAGGAGAAATCAATATGAGTTGTAATAGCCACTTAACTGTGTCAATGAGAGCACCCAAACGATCTCCAAAACTCAGCTGCACAATTGTTGCCTCTGAATCTGAATCTTGATCAATCAAAACTATTGGCATTGGAATAGAATCAGCATCTTGGTCAGTCTTCTGCAATTAAAATCACCCAATTAAACTAATGACAGATCATTATATATTTAGTTGTGATGCGGAATGAGAATACTCTCATCAGGGATTAATCTACTCAGATATTTGTTTTATGAACTTTATATCTTTACGGGTTTAATTGTAATTTTTTTTATCTAGAAGATTACTATAGCATTTAGGATCCTCATTGGTCTTTTATACAACCGACCCCAAAGTATGGAATATAAGACTTAGTGTGTTGTTGTTGTTGTATTGGTATTTTGAATTTTTATAAGGGATAGGAAGTAAGCAATAAATACTTATTCTATCTTTAGTATCAAACCCTTCCAATTAGGGATTATTGAGATTTTGGAACAGAGCCATAAGATTCCCCTATCTCTTGGTTCTCTCTATCATTCTCCCCCCAAATCCCTCTATGTCTTTCCCTTTCCCTATATTTCCTGATCTCTAATCCACTCTTCCCCCCCCCCCCCCCCCCTTCTCTATGCTGCATCAGGTTGTCATCTAACGTTTACAGACATACCTATTATAGAATAAGCTTTTCAATAAAAATCCAACATCCAAAGAACTTCCAAAATTCAGTAAGAAAGCAAGAGAGGGACTATATCTCAAGCTCTTCAATTAGTGAAATAACGATTCAGTCCTTTCACCTGTAAAAGCACACTTCATCTCACGGGTCCAAAACTCCAAATACAAATCCTTACACCTACAATGTCTATAGAAGTGACTCAAATAGGTGGTGCATCTTTATGAAGATAAAATAGTATTCGAAAACTATATTTCTTTCAGTTGTGGCTTACCCCTATATTTTAGTCTCCTAATGTATTCTACACAAATATGGATCCGTAACACAATCTTTTTTTTTCCTGCTTTTACAATTATTTTGGTTGAATTTAAAAAATATACTCACATTGTGACAGAAGAACAACGTCATAAAACATTCAACCTCGGATACATTAAGCATTTGATATGACAGAAAACAATTGTTAATTTTAGAAGAACAAAATGATGCCTCCAAATCCATAATCCATATGTGAGTTAAGTAAAAGGTGCAAAAGGAAGATGATTCTTTACCAATGAGGTTGAACTAACTGCGTTGGTACCATTGTTAGCAGCATAAACAATGTTCCTACATGAACAAGAAAATACTAATAATTTTGATTCCAAGAAAATACCCATCATCTTTTCATACAAAACTGCTACTACTACAGCCATCTTATATGTTATTACTACTAAACAATCAGTTAATCCAAATGAAAAATAAATAAATAAATGAAAAGATAGATAGATTGTCCTTTTTTTTCCTTACTTTTTTGCAGAGAAATCGGTCTTAATGCAACAGTCAGAAAAGTTGTAGCGCAATCTGGAGGAGTGAAGAGAAGAGAAATGAGGGGCGAAAACGGAATCCAAAATATGGGATCGGCGGAAGCCGACGGAAGTGGTAGAAGAAGGAGGAGAGAAAAGGGAATTTGGCAGCGGCATGGTGGATGAACAACTTCAATGATCAAAACTAGATTTCACACTTTTTTTTTGTTGGGTGGGGCGGGGGGGGGGGGGGGGTTTATTTGCGCTTTAGGCGAAGGGGATATTTCTGAAGAGTGCGATCGGTGGCGTCACTTTTGTCGGATCTGTTGAGGTTGATGGATGCCACTTAGCATATGGGTTTTTTTTTTTTTTTTTAATCTTTTTCTTTCATTGCTTTCCTTAAAAAATCCACCTTGTATTATCCCATTTGTTATTGTTATTGCTCGGAGCAAAATTTTCTCAACTCGTCCTAACCTTGAACTTACTGTAAAAGTTTTACATTATTAAATTTTTAATTTTAATAAATTTGAAAATAAAAAAGATAAATAAAAATTTTAATTTCATCTTTTAAATTTTTTGAAATCAATAAATAAAAATATAAAAAAATATAAATTTGTTTACTGTAACTTTATCCCTCCCCAATTCATAATATATATTTATATATACATATAAATGTATATATGCTTGATTTGTATGTAGACTGATAGCTCCTAGAGGCAAAGCCGGCAACTGCGCCGAAAGATGTGGCTGCAAAATCTTGGAATAAAATTGGTATGATATTAATTTTGTTTTATATAAAAATATAAAATATATTTTTATTTTTATAAATTTATATATAATTTTTTAATAAAATTTTAAATTATTTTATTATATATTATATTTTAATTGTCAAATAAGAGGAGATGGGATGATAATAATATTGTGTGTGGTTGATCGATTGATGTGACAAAGAAAATTTCGAACTTTTAGCAATTTGCACCATTGTTATAGTAATTTTATTTTTTCTTACTTTGGATGTACATAATATAATAGTTATGGTCTTGTATTGTACATGGATAATTGGCGATTGCTGATGGTATATAACATTACCTAGTTGTTCAACAATGTAATCAAAAATCTGTAATACCTGCTCCTTTTGTTAATAATAGACCATGTTTTCTTATAATTCCATTGATCCTTGTTATACCTTATGCTACATAACGTTAAAAACGATTCTCTTAACAAACAAATTTAAGGATAAAGTCTAAATTTACTATTATCATTATATTTAAGGTCAAAATCTACTATTATTTTTTTTATTTTTTGATATTTAAGATTGTTAAAATTTAATTTTTAATCACTAAACTTAAATTTTTAAAATTTTACCAATTAACAATCTTCGAACAATGCAATTTTAAATCGTATTTGTTAATTATGAGATAAATTGCAAATTTATAATATCATTTGTGTAAATGGTTCAAATTATTTACTAAATTTTAATTATACAATTTTAGTGTTATATTTTAATTTTGAAATAAATTTAACATCATATTTTTAATTATGAAAACAAAATTGGTCAAGATGTAATATTTATTTTATTGGCAGTTACTTTATAATAAAAAATTTTAAAAATGATATAACAAGCAAAAAGGTCAAGGTCAAGTAAAAAAATGATGTGACCTTATATCAAATAAAAAGCTTCATGATAAAAGAAAAAATAAAATAAAAAAAAGATTACGTAAAATTATATTTAATAAAAAATAATATGAAAAAGTAAATAAATAAAATTAAAAAAAAAAAGAAAATTTCAGATTTTATCTTCATGGTTATTTTTTTTGCTTTCAAGTTATTTTTAAAAGTGCTTTTTCAATTGTAAAACAGTTTTTAATAAAAATATTTTATTTAATATTTTCTAATTGTTACAAAATTAAAAATATGATGGTAAATTTATTCTAAGAATAAAAGTATAATGGTAAAATGATATCTATTGATAGATTAATAGTAAATTTGAATTACTCATATAAAAATAATGATAAATTTACACCAAAATTTAAAAATATTTCGTGAATTTCTTTTTTTAATTTTTCTCAAGAAATAGTTTTTTTACAGTTAGTTTTTTTATCATTTATTTGATCATTAACTTTTGATCATTTACAAATCAAATTAGAAAGGTAATGATAATGTGGCATTTGGCCCTTTTATAGATTAAAAAAGAAAAATACCTAATATGATATTTGGTGCAACATAAAACTGTTTAATGTGGTATTTAAATTTTTATTTTGTAATTAGGTTACCTAGAATCCAATTCAAGTTTGGGAAAAAATCATTTTACAAATGGAAAAAATATTTCATGCATAATTAATAAAGTTTTTAAATTCTAATAGGAAGCATATTACATTAAATATGTTTAACATTGTTTGGACCAAAAACGGTTGGTGTAAGCTTCTATCAAAGAAGAACAAAGGCAGGAAGTTGCTGACGTTTGTATTCTAAGATTGAAGTCAATGATGTGAATGAATAGGGGAGAAAGGTAAGTAAGAAAACTAGAATGAGAAAAAAAGATTACTTGCCTTACCCGTTAAGGAATGAGAGGTATTTATATCTGAGATACTGTGGCGGTTGATGTCCGATTTGGAGTGGGTGGTGTCGATGTGGCCTTAGGTGGACTGATAACTGCCTAGCACATCAGCATGCTTGCTTGATAATGCATAGATCACAATAGCGATTCACGTTAGTGATAGATAATGAGAGTCCAACAATGTCAGTTGTGTGCCTTCAATAAGTATCCGATAATGTCAAGTCTACTCGCCACCGATTGTTTGGAGACGTCAAATCGATGAAAAGACAAAAATTTCTTACGGATCATCAATATTGATTTCGTCAAATTAAAAATAATAAAATTAATTATTATAATTATGAAATTAAATATTATAATAATAAAATTAAAATTATTCGTAAAATATACGTTTTTATGTAAATACAATAAAATAAAGTGTAGTGAAAAAAAATAATCATTATGAATATTAGATTAAAATTGATATATAATACATTTTGTATTATATCTGATATTTATAAAGGTAATAAATAATTAAAATTTAATAAAATTATTTTATATTATTATATATCTATCTTTTATTTATTATATAATTATTTTATTTAATAAATAAGTTGATTGTATTTTTTAAAAAATTGATAATAAAATATTTAAATTAATTGATGATAATTTAGAAGATAATTATTTTTTTTATCAAAATAATAATTATTTTTAATTCAAAATAAAATTTAAAAATAAAAGAATGAACAAAATGAAAAAAAAAAAAAAAAAACAAAAGCTTGAGAGCACTATAGTTTTAAAAGTAAAAAAAAAAAAAAAAAAAAAAAAGGTCTTTTATGGAAAATGGGGCTCCGGTGTGAATGAAAAATCTCACCAAACTCCTGCCCTTTAATGAAAATTTTGAGGCTTGATAAAATCTTTTTCGACCAATCACACCAATAATTTGACATCCAAATAATTTATCACAATGCAATTAAATTAAAATTCATTTTTTTTTATTTTCATTTTTCTCCTTAAGTTAAAAGCTTTTAACTTTTTTTTTGTTATATTATATTTTTATTTTTATATTTTTTTTTCAGATTTTGAGTTTTTTATTTAAAAATTATAAAGTAATTTTGTTATTTTAATATAAAAATAAAATTTATTATTATATAATAAATTAATTAAAAAATCATTTTAATTTATTTATTAATAAAACTATTATTTGATTTTAAAATAATTTAATAATTTTAAAATATTAAATAATTTAAGGTTTTTCATATAATTTTTAGATCATATATTTAATCTTTTTAATGATCATTTTTTTCATTATAATTCATTCCATCGCTATTATTATTTTTATATTCAAATATATATCTTATAATAAATTTTAATTTTATTATATAATAATTAATCTTACTTTTATTATTATTTTTAATTTTATTCAAATCAAATTTATCATATACGTACCTTTAACGTGAGATTAAACTTTACCATCACGATCTCGAGACTTGGGATGGGAGCAAAAACAAAATGAGTTGCAACAATCTCAGTATTTGTATCGTCATGTCCATATTCATGCTTTAGTCGTGAAAACTAGGTGTTGGTTTTAGGGTTTGGCTGCGTGTTTTGACCAAACATTTGAGATGTAAAATAAAACACGTAATTTCAAAGTGACAATGCGGAACCCAACAAAGTTTTATCAGAAACCCAATCGTTAACGTTATCTTTCTTAGGCAAACCAACAAAAAAAAAAAATTTCACATATGGGAGTTTTGTGGGGAACCCAGGGAGAGCATAATGCCACTCACTGCTCGCTCTAATATGGGCTTTTAGGCTTTTAGCTCAACCAATTGTAATTTCTAAGTTGAAACATGCAATGACGTACATAACCCTCCAAACTTTATTTTTTTTTTTTATCTCATCGCCTAATTTTTTTGTTAGATTAATAATTCAAAACATATCACATTATTATTATTAGTATTTTGGTAAAAATTTTCTTGGTAACATGATTCTTACTTTGGTGCGACTTAATTATTTTTAAATTTTTTTTAAATGATTAAATATCCATTTGATCATTAAATTGTTAAATTGATATTTAAAAAATAAAATTTCTTAATTAAGTATATGAATTTTTGTTTCTTAGAGCCATATTTCCTCATGGGCTAATTCCATTAGAATCAAGTTTATGTGGCTTTCTTGACCAATGCTAAAGCGCCGCATTAGAGGTGAAGTCTATTACTACATCATTAAAAATAACTTTCGAAAAATAAAATAAAAATAATGTATTTTATTTTTAAAAAATTAAAATTAATAAAAACTTGAATTTTGAAAAAAGGGAAAATTAAAATTAAAAGAAAAAGAGAGAGGAGAGACAGAGGTAGAAGAAAATAATAAAAAGGAAAGAGAGAAAAAAAAAAAAACTAAACTTGATTATGATTGTACTTTTTCTATGGCATATGATTATTATTTTACTTGGACATGTAGAAAAAAATCAATAATCCAAGCTTATTTTGTAGTTATTATTTTTTCTTTTTGATTAAATGGAGGATTAATTTTTAAGTTTGTATTTGTATTCTCTTATTTTAATATATATTTATGTGTGTCAATGAAAAAAAAAATTACAGTCAATCAATTACAAATTTGTTTTTACAATTCCTGTTTTTATAACAGAATAGGATATGGAAAGAAAAAATTAATTAATATTTAGAAAAAAAATAAAGGTTCATTATTATGAAATTGTTAAATTTCACAAGCAATATTAAAAAAATTACAATATATATTTTAATATATCTTAAAAATATAAAAATAATCTGTTATAAATTCAAAAATATTAAAAAATAAATATGTGAAGGGCATGGGAGTATGAGTGTAAATTCGAAAATATAGCAAACCTCACCAAGCCCATGCGGCTGCAAACACAAGTCTAACTTGGCTTCCACCTTATCTTTTCCTCTTCCACACAGTTTGGTATCACAAATTCCATTAATCCAACCTAAAATTTCCTTACCAATCAATTCTCCAAAATTCCTATCCTCTCCTAAAACCCTAATTCTCTATCTCCGTCTCATCTCTTACAACCGACCGCCTATGGACGCCGAGCTTTCTGCCCCGGAGCTTATCTCTCAGCCGCTGTCTACTTCCCCAGGTTCCACTTCGTCTTCTTCATTTTTAGCTTCCAATGATGATTCTAAGTTTGTAACTAGTTCAGTAAGAGAACATGATTTGAAAGCTAATGAAAATGGTAAAGCTAGTGATAATGAGAGTGGTGAGGAGAGGATTGAAACAGCGCCCGAGAGGCCATTTGTGGCTGACCTAGGTGAAGAAATTTCGACTTTGGGGAAAGTTAGCGCTTTCCCTTCTGTCGGTTCTGATGGTTCAACTTTGATTTTGAAAGACGACTCACTTGGGGGTGGTTATAATGGTTTAGAGGGATTTAGAGGTGAGGGTTCGATGGAAAAGCTTGATAATGAAGGTGTTGGTTATGGAGAAAAGGAGGAAAAGGTGGAAATGGGCTCGATTGGTGATGCTGACCAATCTGTGTTTGCAATGGAAAGCAGAGAGGAAGGTAGGATTGGGATGGTTGAGAATAATTCGGTTTTAGGAGCTGGAACTAAACATGCCAATCCTATGATTGCAGAAGCTGTAGATTGTAAGGTGGTTGAAGTAGATGGTTTGAAATTTTGCCGTGGAGAGGAATTGTTGGTTGATGCAACACCTTTAATTGGAGATTCTTCAGATTGTAAGAAATCTGAGATTAAGGGGACGGAGGTGGTTCCAGTTTCTGTGAATGCGAGCTTGGATGTTGGCTTTAATCAGATTAGTCATGTTGAAGAACAAAGTGTTCTGGATGTCTATCCCGTGTATGATAAAGGTATTGACCCTGTTGCATTAAATGGAATTGAAACTTCTGAGGTCTTGGCTTGTGAACGGACTTCTGAAATTGTTGCTGAGAGGGAAGCTGATTCTGCTATTGGGGGTCTGCTTGGTAAAGATGAGTTTGGGACCAATCTAAATGACCTTGAAGAGGAGGCAGGTATAGATGTGTTGGAAAAAGTGTCTGCTGAGAAATTAGATGGAGGGGGTAGAGATGGAATTCAGACAATGGATCGTTCTGCTCAACCAACTGAAATGATGGCTGCTCATGAAACAGAGAATTCAGATAGTGATTCTCGAAGCAGAAGATTAGCAACTGTGGCGGTAGAAGAATCTCATTCGCCCAAGTCTGTGGAACAAACACTGGTTTCTGAAGAGCAAGTTAGTTTTGAAGGTGAAGAAGAAGAGAAGCGCCATCAAAATGAAGGTGTTCAAATTGAAGGCTCGGATACTGATGGAGAGACTGAAGGTATGATCTTTGAGAATGCTGATGCTGCTAAAGAATTTTTGGCGGAGCTAGAACTTGGATCTGCCATTGGTTCTCACTCAGGTGCTGATACTTCTCATGATCATTCTCAAAGAATTGACGGTCAGATTGTCATTGATTCAGATGAAGAAGGGGACACTGATGAAGAAGGGGAGGGGAAGGAGTTATTTGATTCTGCTGCTTTGGCAGCCCTCTTGAAAGCAGCAACCGGCACTAGCTCTGGTGGTGGTAACATCACTATAACCTCTCAAGATGGGTCCAGGCTTTTCTCTGTTGAGCGACCTGCAGGTTTAGGATCCTCACTCCCCAATGCAAAATCTGCACCTCGATCAAACCGGCCTAACCTATTCAGTCCTTCTGCTGTAACGAGTAGGAGAGACTCTGACAACAACTTGAGTGAAGAAGATAAAAAAAAAATTGAAGAGTTACAGCTGATAAGAGTCAAATTCTTGAGGCTTGTTCGGAGGCTCGGACACTCTCCAGAAGATTCTATAGCTTCACAGGTTCTATATAGACTAGCACTTGTTGCTGGGAGGCAAACCAGTCAACTGTTTAGCCTTGATTCTGCAAAAGGGAAAGCTCTTGAACTTGAAACAGAGGGTAAAGATGATTTAAACTTCTCCTTGAACATACTTGTTCTTGGGAAGATTGGGGTGGGCAAGAGCGCTACAATAAATTCAATTTTTGGTGAGGAGAAGACCTCAATTCATGCATTTGAACCTGCCACTGTAGTTGTGAAAGAGATTACTGGAACAGTAGATGGCGTTGAACTCAGGGTCATTGATACCCCAGGCTTGAAATCTTCAGCCATGGAGCAAAGTGCCAATCGTAAGGTCCTAGCTTCTATTAAAAAATTCATAAAGAAGTGTCCCCCAGATATTGTACTCTATGTTGATCGGCTGGACACCCAGACCCGGGATCTTAATGATCTGCCCTTGTTAAGATCAATCACTAATTCTCTTGGCTCCTCTATCTGGAAAAATGCCATAGTTACTTTGACTCATGCTGCTTCTGCACCTCCAGATGGACCATCTGGCTCACCTTTGAGTTATGAAGCGTTTGTTGCCCAACGTTCCCATGTTGTTCAGCAGTCTATTGGTCAAGCTGTTGGTGATCTACGCCTGATGAATCCAAGTTTGATGAATCCTGTTTCTCTTGTTGAAAATCATCCTTCATGCAGAAAGAATAGAGAAGGCCACAAGGTGCTTCCTAATGGTCAAACTTGGAGACCTCAGCTATTGCTGTTATGCTACTCTATGAAAATCTTATCTGAAGCAAGTTCTCTCACCAAACCTCAAGATCCATTTGACCATCGGAAGCTCTTTGGTTTTCGTGTCCGTTCTCCTCCTCTTCCATACTTGTTATCTTGGCTGTTGCAGTCTCGCAGCCATCCTAAACTCTCTGCTGATCAGGGTGGTGACAATGGTGACTCTGATATTGATATGGCTGATTTATCCGATTCTGATCTAGAAGAAGATGAGGATGAGTATGAGCAGCTCCCACCTTTCAAACCTCTAAGGAAAAGACAGCTTGCTAGACTTAGCAAGGAGCAAAGGAAGGCATATTTTGAGGAGTATGATTATCGGGTGAAGGTCCTCCAGAAAAAGCAGTGGCGTGAGGAGTTGAGAAGAATGAGGGAGATAAAGAAGAAAGGAAAGCCTGCTGTTGATGAATATGGTAACATGGGGGAAGATGTTGATCAGGAAACTGGTGGTCCAGCTGCTGTACCTGTTCCATTACCTGATATGGTCTTGCCACCTTCCTTTGATGCTGATAATCCAGCTTACAGGTACCGGTTCTTGGAACCAACTTCTCAGTTCTTGGTGAGGCCAGTTTTGGACGCTCATGGTTGGGACCATGATTGTGGGTATGATGGTGTTAATGTTGAACATAGCCTAGCAATTGCCAGCCAGTTTCCTGCTGCAGTTTCTGTGCAACTCACGAAGGATAAGAAAGAGTTTAACATCCATTTCGATTCTTCAGTTTCTGCCAAGAATGGAGAAAATGGATCACACATGGCTGGCTTTGACATCCAAAATGTCGGAAAGCAATTAGCTTATATTTTCAGAGGGGAAACCAAATTCAAAAACCTCAAAAAGAACAAAACAGCTGCAGGCTTTTCTGTTACATTTTTAGGTGAGAATGTTGCAACCGGGTTCAAACTTGAGGATCGTATTGTTGTTGGAAAGCGGTTGACGTTGGTTGGTAGCACTGGGACCGTTAGATCTCAAGGTGATTCAGCATATGGAGCCAATCTAGAAGTGCAGCTCAGAGATGCAGATTTTCCAATCGGCCAGGATCAATCCTCTTTGGGTTTGTCTCTAGTTAAATGGAGGGGGGACTTGGCATTGGGTGCCAATTTTCAGTCTCAATTTTCTGTCGGACGGAGTTCAAAAATAGCAGTTCGTGCTGGACTGAACAATAAGATGAGCGGACAGATTACTGTTCGAACAAGTAGCTCAGATCAGCTTCAGATTGCACTCGCTGGTATTCTTCCTATTGTCATGGCATTTTATAAAAGCATCAGGCCTGGGGTTAGTGATAACTATTCTATGTATTAGGTGCTAAAACAATTTCGCGCCCCCCAACCCCAAAGAGCTGCCACCACCTAGGGAAATTGTTATGCATTGCTTAGTCTCCTCCCCTTTCCTTGAATAATGCTTAGATTACTTTTAGCATGGACTACTGCTTTGACGAGATCCGTTTTATTGCTTAATAAATGTTGTTAAGCATGAGTAACTTATTGTTTGTTTAGTGCATTTCAAAAATTTTTAATAGGATAATTGAATTATAAATTTATTAATTAACGAGGTATTTGAAATTTTGTTTGTTTCTCCATGGTCATTATTTGAAATTTATTACGTTATAATTATTGTATTAATTAACACATTCATGATTCATATTGAACGTTTTAGTGTAGTTTAGATGCTGTTTATGACATTTCAATTGTTTTGCCCAAGTGAATGAAACGAAGGATAAGAAATTTCAGTTGAAAACTAGGGGAATGTTTCGCCTTTTTAAGTGTAGCATTCCAGCAGAAAAGAGTTTGTGTTAGAATCTATCTACCCATGAGGGCAATTTTACTAATGCATGGTCCTTCTTGGTGATACCACGTGCCACATGCTCACTTCTTTTTTTTTTCTCACATTTTTCATTTTTTATGTTTTTAATTTTTAATTTTTAATAAATATTTTTAATATCAAAATTTTTTTAGTGGGATCTATTTTATACTTTTTTTTTTTGCTTTTTAGATTTACTTTTTCAGAATTTTTTAATAAATATTTTTTTTGTGTGGAACTTATTTGACATTAAAGGTATATCACATATTTATTTTTTTTCTTTCTTCTTTTTTTTTATATATTTAATATATATATTTTAAAATTTAAATTCTTTTTTATGTCCTAATTTTTTCTTTTTTAATTTTAAAAACCTTTTTAAGAGGGAGTGTCACTTCTTTTTTCCTTTTTTTATTTTTTTCAAAATTTACATATTTAATAAATATTTTTTAAAAATTTTAATTTTTTTTTGCCTCGTCAACTTAATATTAGGGATATACCATTTGTTAAAGGTTTTTCATCATTTCTTTCTTTTTTTTCTTTTTAAATATTTATATATTTTTTTAATTTTTTAATATGAGATCTATTTTATATTATTGATTAAAATTTTTTATTTCTTTTTTTTTTTTGGTTCTTTTTTCTTTTTTCAATTTGATCATTTTTTAAAGAAAAATGATATTAAGAAAAGCTTATCGTAGTTGATGTCACATGATATATTTTTTTTTTGCTTTTTTTTTAATTTTTTTAATTAGATTGTTTTATTAAAAAAAAAAAACTCACATATGTATATAAGTAATGACACTTTATTTCACTTTTTTTTTTTCTTTTTTGAAATTTTTTTGTTTTTATTTTTTTAATTGGATAATTTACAATAAAATAAATAAATAAATAAAATTATATTTTTAATTATTTATTTGATTTTATTTATATATATGTTTTATATTAATAAAAATATTATATTTATATATAATTAAGAGATAATTAATCAATTATATAAATTTAATTCATTTTGATTTTTATTTAATTAACATTAATGTCTCGACATGCTACTTTTTTTTTCACTTTATTTGAGCTTTGTTGTTTTTATTTTTAATTTAGATAAAATTTGTAAAAAAAAATAAATTATGTAGGCATTCACGTGATATCTCAATTTATTATTTTTCTTTTCATTTTTTTGCTTTTAATTAAATAAAATTTGAAACAAAAAGAGCCTATGGATAGAAATAGCAAAACAATTTATCTCTAATAGATTCTCATTCAATTGAAATGTCTACATAATACCCTAATTAACTTTCTTTTTATTTTTATTTTTTGTGTTATGTTTTTTTATTAAAGTAATTTTGTGAAAAAACCCAATGAATTTCCTTATTGCACCCTATTTGATTTTTTTCCTTTCATTCTTTTAATATTTTTTAATTATATAAATTTTACAATGAATGGTATTAATTGAAAGAGATGTAAAATAATCGATATCTAACTAATTTCAATTCACTTTAATTTAATAAAAGGGTTATTTTTTAAACGGCATGGGCTTAAGATTGATTGAGTTCTTTAAAAAAAGCTCATATCAAAAGTGTATTTAAGATGTTTTATTTTATATATATATATATAAATATATATAAATTTATATATTTATTATTTTATTTAATTTTATACATATATATGTATTATATTAATAAAATTATTTTTATTTTAATTTAAAAAATTAATATTTTAAATTTAATATGAGATGTAAATGTAATGTAAAATACTCGATGATTTTTTTTTTTCATTTTTTGACTATTTTTGGATTTATTCTTTTATAAGATAAATTTTATGAAAAAAACACAATTAAGATATCTACGTATCATTTCTTCTTTTTTATTTTTTTAATTAAATAACTTTTACAAAAAATATGTGATGAATAGATATGATAAAACAAAAAATTTTACCCGTAGCCGTATGCAGGTGTTTTTCTGGTTTTTATAAATTGTACTAAAATCCATGAAACCCATGGATATGCAACTTAGTGATATCAAGAATTTTCACCTCTGGTAGTATGTTTATATAGTTGTTTAGCATCTTATAACATATTTAAATAATCAAGAATATTCTTTAATAGCATGGTGGCGGACGATCGAAATTTGGATAGTTGCGGTGGCCGATTGAAAGTATAATGCGTAAAAATAAAACGAGGGAGAAATCAAGAAAGGAAGAATTGAAAAGGAAAATTTTATTTTGGTTTATATACTAAAATATTAATGATGCGTTTTTTACATTTTAGAGAAAGAAAATGAAAAGAAAAAAAAAAGGTCAAAATAATAAAAAATTTATTTAAAAATTATTATTTTATATAAATAAGTTCTTATGTTTTAATACACCTAAATAAGTATTTAACTTTTATTTTGCACATAAAAAATCTTTAAACTTTAATTTGTATTCAAATTTTTTTTAATTTATATCTAAATAAATCATTAACATAAATTAATAAAAAATAAGGACTTATTTAAATATAATAAAAATATATTAACTTATCTAAATAAAACAATAAAATAATTAAAAAATGGATATGGGTACCTGACCCGGCCCAATATGTTTTCTCAGTCGAAGCCCACATGGTTTTGGGGCTAATCTGTTTTTGGATCCAATAAAAATACAAGTGAGAGTATAATTTCTTTACTCTTGAGTTTTTTTTTTCGTGTGCTTGTTTATTTTTCTATTTTAAATTTTAAAAAAGAAAAAAAAACATTTAGATAATAAATGAATAATACGAAAACTTTCGCTCAAATAGTTTTAAGCTATTTTAAAATAAATAAATAAATAAATAAAATAGTAAAAAATTTCTTGCAAAAAAAAATCTTTTAGCATAATGTAATGTTGGCCCCATCAATTTTATTTCAGTCTGTCTCCATGCATCCCTGGTCTTCAGTTCAACGGCTATGCTTATCACACGATACTCTCCTTCTTGAGCAAAACCAACGAGCTTGCCTCCTTACTTATCCATCATTTGTGAAGCACTTGGGTTTACAGAATTTTTAATAAAATATTATCGATAGGACTTATTTATTTTGTCAACTAGATTTCTTTGGGGTAAGATAAGAGGCGATAATTGCGTATGTTGATTTGGGGTTGGATTAAATCTGTACATCTAGTTATTTTAGATTGAAAAAATTTTATATTGTTTTGAGTTTAAATTATTTTAAATTAAAATTATTTCGAATTTAAATATTTTTAATATTTAATATTTAAATTTTTTAAATTTTTTAAAATTACAATTTTTAATTTTTAAAATTAAATGAAAGAATTAATCTTAAAAAATAAAATTTAAATTATTTCAAATTTAAGAGTCGGTTAACTCATATGTAATTTTTTTTATGATTATATTAAGAGAATAAAATTTTAATATAAATAAAAAAATTTGATTCAAAATTAAATCTTTAACATTTTTTTAGCGTCTTTATCTATTAAACTAAAAATTTGAGACAAATTTAAATGCAATTTATGTTTTGAGAATAGGTGATATATGATTTTGTTTTTTAGAAATAATTAATTTTTCGCGTTCTAACAGCATTTTGTAAGGAAAAAAAAAAAAGATAAAGGGCAAAAACCCGTGAAAAAGGGTAGCAGCGGAAAGTTCCACTCTAACTAGTCATAAACTCACTTCTTGAAAAGTTGGTTGACCATCAACTGATATGATCATGCCTACGCAATTATGTTGAGTCAAATTGATATAATAAAAAATTTTAATTTAAATTTAATTTTTAATTTAAAATTTGATATTTGATTTAAATTTGATTAAAATTTATTTTTTTAGTTCGAATTCGATTCGTGATTAAAATTGAATTACTCAAACTCACTCGATTAGGTTCGATTAATATATTAAAATAAACTTAATTTTTATATTCGATAAAAATTTAATTATTTGTGTTCAAATTCGAATTCGAGATATTTTATTAATAAAATAATAAAAAAAATTAAATAAAAAATTTGATTAAACTCATGAATTATTCGAATTAAATATAAAAATACTAAAATTCAATTCGATTGATAAGTCAAACTATTTGAATTCGATTCAATAATAATCGAATCGAATTCAAATTTTATTCGAATCAAATTCATATAACTTATAAATACTAATATATCATTTACATTTTTACATAAGATCCTGACAACAATGCCACACGGCTTTTCAGACAGTTTTATCCGGTCGAATTACTGCTGACTGAAGCCCAGAGGAGGTGAGTAGTTGAACTCCTGTGCCAAGGAAGCAAAATCAGGCGTTATTTTCTTCCATATTTATGCCTTGATTTACGTTGAAAACCAAACATTCTTTTACTCAGAAAGGGCTAAAGATTGAAATCTGAAACAGATGAGGATTGTAGTTTAGGCTAAGATAACATAAATGACTATCTATAATTAGATTCAATTATTGGTGAATAAACGTTAGCAATGGTTTAATTACACCGCATCCAATCTTTCTCTTTCTATGACATTTGTAACATAAAAATGATGATAATAAAAAAATATTTTTTTTTACAAGTAAACCAGCCCTACACTTCTCCAACCTGAAAGCAAATTTCAACATTGCATGGAAAGAAAACTAAGTTTAAGATTTAATCTCAGTATGCTAAAGTTACAATTAGGCCTCATTTAGATGCAATTGAAGTTGTCTACTGCAATCTTGGTTTTTTTTTTTTTTTTTAATCCAAACCCATTATGTTTTTGTCTCGATAATAAATTTTTGTTCGATTGGGTTATGTCATTAATTATGGGTGAGCTAATCGAATTTAATGAAAGTTAAAAATAAAGAAAAAAATATTTTCTGTACAACCTAAAAAAATCCATCACATCGAAATACACAAATAAGGGAGAGAAAACAATTCTAACTTGAACGAGTGACGTGAAATGTGAAGTTATCCCCTGGCTAGTGGATGCGTGAAAGCTGAAAATAAGACCTTTATAGCTCTCAACCTTTTATGGAAACTGGAATCCAATTTTTATCAACTTTATCTTTAGAATTTGAAAGCATGCACGAAGCCTCTCGGTTTAAAAGAAGTTGCCACATTTTTTTTTTTTACAAATCTATTACATTGACATAATTTATTTTTTCTGAAACAGGAGGAAGATTTTTTTTTTCTTAGGAAAATAACTCACGAAAATAAGTATATCAAAGAAAATTTCCAAAGAAGGAACTAGAAAGTTGTTAATTTTGATACTGAAACCCTCATATTAAGAAAAATAATATGAATGTTGCGAAATAATTTACAAGGGGTGCAGTGGTAAAATAACTTTATTACTAATTTCCATCTTCTCTTCTTCCTTTTTTTTTTTTTTATTTTACCTGCCAAATACCGAGAAATATAATTTTTTATTTTTTCTAAATACATTCCATCCCAACAACATTACATTTTCCTGCATATCCTTTTCACTCTCTTTTTCATTCTCTCACTCTTAATCTAAACATAACCCTAAAACCATTTAACCAACCCTTAAATCACAAGTTTATTGAATATTTCATTGTAAGTTAGATTTCAAAATTTTTGTTCATTAATTTGGATGAAATCAAGCAAAAGTAAGGATTTATAATCTAGGATTTAGGAAAATTTTTTATTGAAAAAGGTTTATAAGGAAATTGATTTAGAGCTTTTTAAAGCTTTTTAAAAATTCATTTTTAAGAGTTTTAAATCGAAAATTATCATTTTGTGAAATAAATTTTCAAAAATGATGTGGTAGTTTTGAAAATAAATTTTCAAAAATGATATTGTATTTTCAAAAATTGATTTTTAAAAATACATCATTATTTTTAAAAATTTATTTTTAAAAATAATATTATAATACTGAAAATTCATTTTCATAAACTTAAAATTTACAATTTGAATTGGGCTTAAAACGAATTATTTTATCGAGTTCATTTCCTTCAATTTTGTTTCTTATTTCACTAGCTATTTATACAAGATTTAACAAACGTTTCCAAATTTAATAGTTTATTTTAAAGATCTAGAGTTTTTTTATTTGAGAAACAGGAAGAAAGGAAAGAATAAAAAGGGAAGAAGAAGAGAAAGGAAGTGTAAATGGGATATATAAAGGTTAAAATTATAATTTATCAAAGGATATATAAGATATTTTGTGTATGAGTATTTTTAGAAAAAATATGTTGGGATTGTGAAGAAAAACTAAAGTGGTGTATTTGGAAGTATTCTTTATTTTTTTCAAATAAGTTATCTTAAGTAAAAATAAAGACAAAATTGACTAGTCAAATGGCTATGGTTCATTGAGATGAAGAAACTGTCGTTTTGTGGGATCCCCATCGCTTACTTAAATGAAGCATAAATGAGAGTAGAAAATGACAAAAAGGACATTGTTTGGTATCCTAATTAAAAATTAAAATGCAAAAAAAAAAAAATGGTAGGACGATGGGACAGGTGCCGTGAGATTATGTGGGGTCAAAGGCAGACTGATTATAATTTAGGTAACACCCGTCCTCAGCAATGGAAAGTAACTGAGCATATCTTCTTCTCTATGAACTCCTTTCTTTCTCTATTCAAAACAAAAGTAGTCCCAAAAGTAGTCCCAAAAGTGGCTTCCTTTCTCTTCCGTTTCTATAAATCATCAATGAAGCCAATCAATACGCCATAACTCTCCATTCCCCAAACATCAAAACCCAATGGAAACCCACGCTTCCTCTTTCTCTTGCTTCCGATCTTACCTCCGGGCGCTGGCCCAGACTCCAGCTCGCTTGGCTAGCCGTGCACTCTCTGTTTCTTCGTCAAATGAAGAATTGAGCCGGGTGAGGGCCCGTTCCGGCTCCGACATGCAAAGGAGCCTCCGTTGGTTTGACTTGGTTGGTCTGGGAATCGGAGGCATGGTCGGAGCCGGTGTGTTTGTCACCACCGGCAGAGCCAGCCGCCTCTGCGCTGGCCCTGCCATCGTAATCTCTTACGCCATTGCTGGTCTCTGCGCCCTCCTTTCCGCCTTCTGTTACACCGAATTCGCCGTCCACATGCCCGTGGCTGGGGGTGCCTTCAGTTACCTACGAATTACCTTTGGGGAGTTTGCCGCATTTTTTACCGGAGCCAATCTGATAATGGAATACGTGATGTCAAACGCAGCGGTTGCGAGAGGCTTTACCTCTTATTTGGGTGCCGCAATCGGTATATCCACAGCGAAATGGAGATTCACAGTTCCAGGGCTCCCAAAAGGGTTCAATGAAATCGACCTGGTGGCTGTGGCCGTCGTATTAATCCTCACTCTCATCATCTGTTACAGCACAAGAGAAAGTTCAGTGGTGAATATGATACTTACTGCATTACATATCCTTTTCATTGCCTTTGTAATATTTATGGGTTTCTGGAGAGGGGATTGGAACAATTTCACTCGTCCAGGGAACCCCCACAACCCTTCCGGCTTCTTTCCCTACGGACCTTCCGGTGTCTTCGATGGGGCTGCCATGGTTTATTTGAGTTACATCGGATACGACGCCGTATCCACCATGGCTGAGGAAGTCCGTAATCCCGTCAAGGATATTCCCATCGGGGTGTCAGGCTCCGTGATCGTCGTTACCGTTCTCTACTGCCTCATGGCCGCTTCAATGTCCAAGCTCCTTCCTTACGACATGGTACTAACCACTCATTCCGTTCCTTTTTTTTTTTTTTTAAATCTTTTGGTTATGTTATTGATAACTAATTGTTTTTTGTTCGATTAACTGGGTGTGGTCTTGAGCACGCAGATCGATGTGGAGGCGCCGTTTTCGGCGGCGTTTAGCGGGAGATCGGACGGCTGGGCGTGGGTGTCTAGGGTGATAGGGGTGGGGGCCAGCTTCGGGATAATGACGTCGCTGTTAGTGGCGATGCTGGGACAAGCTCGGTATATGTGCGTCATCGGACGGTCCAGCGTGGTCCCCGCGTGGTTCGCCAGGGTCCACTCTAAAACCTCTACGCCTGTCAACGCCTCCGCCTTTCTTGGTACGGCTTTCTTTTCTCTAAATAATATTGCTGAATTTTTAATTATTTAAATAGATAACTTTTATCGACAAGGGTTCATTGGGCTCCATGTGCGTTTCTTTTTTATATTTCCGTTTCCGTTTCCGTTGATTTTTGAGTTTGGCTTCGGCCGTTGCAAATGGACCCACTTGAACCGTTTCATTGCAGGCTGATACGTTTTTTAGCTGAAGATTGCTGAGATGCTTTTTTTTTAGCTTGGAGTTTCTGTAGGGAAAATCAATGATAGCTTGGAAAGAAGTAAATTTCTTCTAAATAAGAATCTATGCGAGCTTTTGCGTAGGCCAGGCATGTGACATGCAAAACCATGTAATATATAATATATATTAGGAAAAGAACGCATGATAGACATTATTGACCGATAATTTGAGGACCGCCTTTTACCGAACCTCTTTCGCGTCTGTTGTAAAAGCAATTTAAGATTTATACTGTATGTGACGAGAATTCTGGTCTATATTGGTCCAGCCATCTTTAATTTTAGAAGATAAAGCCTTCAATTTGAGCCCATGATTGAAAGTGACCTTGGTCACAAGGTCAGCAGTGGAAGTTCCCCTGTAATGATAAGGTTTATGACCTGGATTGCATATGGATCATATGCAGTTCAACTACCTATACAAGACGTCTTTGGAATTTCGTGTTAGGATTAAAGTCTTATTGTTCGAAAGCGATAATAATAAGTGTAAAGAAAATTGAAATACATGGGATTTATTATGGATCACTCTTAGAACTGTCTACTTTGCAACAGCTACATAACTTTTCAGTGTAAAAAAAATTACAAAAGCTTGATCATAAACCTTTAACTCGATGTCCCTATATATCTAAATATAATTAGAGTGGTCAAGTTATACGTGAAAAAACATAAGATATTCTTATTTAATATTGTTATGTATAAAGGACCTTAATGAGATCAAAGTTGATTTACGCAGTTATTATGCATTCTGCGTTGGGACGAGCACCATCAGGATAGTAATCAGTCTCTTACATCTTAGCATGTCATAAATGACGCCTATACTCAGTAGGATCTTTTGACTTTACGTTATCTTAATTGTGTGTTTTTGTCTTTTCTAATTAGCTTATGCTTATCATCATCTTTATAGTGTGTTTTTGTAGCCAACATCACAGCCATATTGACTTGATAAGTTGCTCATTAACTTCCAACTTCCTTTCTATTTTCAGGAATTTTCACCGCTGCAATTGCCCTTTTTACTGATCTAAACATCCTCCTGAACCTCGTATCCATTGGCACACTCTTTGTGTTTTACATGGTAGCAAATGCAGTAATCTACAGGCGCTACGTTGTTGTCGGGACAACAAAGCCATGGCCTACATTATCCTTCCTATGCTTATTGTCCATCACTGCCATTATATTCACCCTATTGTGGCGTTTTGCACCGCCGGGCAAGCCAAAGGCCTTTGTACTTGGCGCTTGTGTTGTAATTGCAGTATCCATATTACAAATTTTTCATTGCATGGTACCACAAGCGCGGAAACCAGAATTTTGGGGTGTCCCTTTCATGCCTTGGCTACCATCTATATCAATCTTCTTGAATATATTTCTGCTGGGGTCTCTGGATGGACCATCGTATGTTCGATTTGGGTTCTTTTCGGCTCTAGCTGTGCTTGTATACGTCTTATACAGCGTTCATGCTAGTTTTGATGCTGAAGTGGATGGCTCTTTCGATCAAAAGAACGGTGAAAGTCCTTAAAGAATCATCCGTAAGTGAAGATAGAGAGGTTAATGGGTTGGATATGAAAAGTGTAGAGTATTTTTTATTTTCATCTTTATTTTTGAATTTTTATGTTATTCTTATTTTCATATACATATACAATTAGTAGTTAAAATTTATTTTTATCTTTGTAGATATTTAATTGTAGATATTTAATGAAAATGAATAATTTTTATATTTATAGTTTTTTTAAAAAATAAAAACTAAAAGTTATTATTTTAATTTTTTTATTTTTATATTGTATATTTAGGTAATTTATTAAAATATATTTTAATATATTAATTTTAGTTAATTAAAATAATAATTTATATTATATAATAAAAAATATTTATTAAATAAATATATAAATATATATATATAAGGTATGAATATAGATAGATATTATATTATTTATTTTTATATTTGTATTTAATAAAAATTTAAATCATATTATTTTTATGATATATAATATAATATTAATTTTTATCTTGGATGAAAAGTTGAATTTTTCGTTAGTAACGTGTAAGATTGACATTTATGTGAAGACGCTAATCACAAGGTGTAGAAACTTTCTTTCTGTTTGTTTTCTTTGTTCCCACTCTAAACCTTTTCGTATGGCGGATGGGTACGTGACAAAGTGATATAAAAGAAAGAAAAAGGACCTGACAAAGTAAGATAAAAAAAAAAAGAATAGAATAGAATAGACAGTAATTCTGCCGAAACGATAGCTTGGATATAGTTGGTCGGTCTCTTATGCTGATTAGATTCTGATCCTGTGTACACCGTCATGTGATCCATCATCTGATGCTTCAGTTTGAATTGGAAATTTAACATTAATGAAAAAGCAAACTAAGCAAGCAATACACACAAAGTTATCCACTTCTGCTTTTTTATTTTGAAGTGCCATGGCATTTGCTTAGACAAGCAGCTATCAGAATCCGATAAATTATTGATGCAAAAGACTTCTATCATTTAAGAGAAACTTTTGAAACCTATTAAGTTTTAATTCTTTTGTTAATTCATTAATTTGATTTTTGTAAAAAGTACTTGCAAAATAAAATTTTAAATGCAAGAAACTGATTTGAAATAAATATGTTTTAAGATTATTAAAAAAAAAAAATGTCCAAGGAAAGCATGAGGATGATCCGTTTTTAAAAAATAAATAAAAAAAAAACTTTGGGAATCAATTAAGAACGTATATTCAAAAAGATTAATGGCATTGTGAATAGCCATTAGTAGAAAACAAACAATCCAACAAGGTACAAAATCAAACTAACAACGTGATTTATTTTTTGCGTCATAACGATGGTGGTTGTGGAGTGGACATTTACATGACCCCATTTATTTATTTGAATGATGTCTTTTCTACTTTTTTTTTCCTTCTTTTCAACCCTCGCTATTCTAAAAAAATTGATGAAACATTTGCTCATTGTTTGGCACGGCCATTTTTTTGAAAATGATTTTTCACCTTTCTTGCTAAGGCTAAGCACAACTTCATAACTTTAGATGCTTTTTTTTTTTAAATTAGAAAAATTATAAGTGATCTCATGGGACTTAATCAATGTATTTAGATAACAAAACAAACAGGATTATTATTCTATATATAATCAATGTAACTAGTAAACTCTACAAATAAAATTAAAGAGTTGACATATGTTTATTTATTAATTAATTTTTTTAATATTTACACTATGTCCTATTAAAGTACTTATCAAACTTTTTAAATATAAAGGAAGCAAAGAAGTTGTAACTTAAATATAAAAAAAAATTTATAGATATTAAAATTTTAATTTCAAAGCTGTTTTATCATATTTTAAAAATAATTATATAAATTAATTAAATTAAATTTCGAATTCACTTATCAATCTTTTAATATCATCGTATCTATGAAAATTTCATTGTTAATATATATCAAATAATTTTTCTCAAATAAAAAACTATCTCAAAGGTAAATTTTTATTTATTTATTATGAGTTAATGTAATGAATGATCGTTAAATTATAATAAAATATTTAATTTAGTATTTAAATTTTTAAAATTTTTTAATATAATATTTGAATTATAAATTTATTAATTAATATAATATTTAAAAATTTATTTGTTACCATATATCATTATTTAAAATTAATTAAATTAAAAATAAATCTCACACTAATTAATCAATTTATATTACAAATATTATATTAAAAAAATTTTTTAATGTAAATATCATATTAAATATTTTAAGATCATAAATAACATTTAACTCTTTTTATTTATTTATTTGCTTAGTTGGGGTTGGTACCACAGATACACATGGTTTTCTGACTGAAAATCAAATTCTCAATCTTAAAGAACCGGCAAAAGATATAGAAAGAAGATAATACTGAATAAATTAACCCACATATGATCGATGGCTACTGAACACGAGGAAGATAATAGGCAAGTAAGATATGGAAACGGAAAGAAAATTTCAGAATCTGGAAAAAGCAAGAAAGCCCAGAAAGACCATGCGCTATCAATCTTTACAGGTCTCTGAAACGACAAAATAAAAAAGGGGACAAATGGTAATGGGCCATACTGTTGGTTACGTGTTTGTTTTCTATCATAAATATTGAATCCTTTTTGTCTGCTGGATGAATCAAATTCTTCTTTCTTTTTTTTCTTCCTTTATGAATTATTTTTGTCCCTTCTGAGTTTTGTCTTGTGGAGTTAATGGGACACATCTCTTATCCTCTGGACTGTCTGACAGGATTCGGAAAATAGGCAAAATGATATGAAAATGAGAAAAACACAGAAAGGTATATATATTCCATTGATTTTTTGTTTGCTTGAAAATTTTTAGGGGGAAATTTATTCGAAAATTTCAACATGATTAGATTATCTTGGCTTGAATTGTTGAAACTGTGATTGAGTTGAAAATATCATAATTCAAATTGTTGAATCTATGTGTTGGTTATCAGATTTTGAATAATAAGAATAGAATTGGATGAAAGGCACACAGTCAAATAATTTTATCGGTTCCTTTTTTCTCAGTTTGATCTTGTAAAACATGTTATTTTCATGTAAGGTTTTTTCAGTTTTAAAGAAATTTCAATTTATTTTTAAATTGTTTTGAATTTAAATCTTTTAAATTATTTAAGTAATTAAATTCAGATAATTTTAAGTTTAATTTATCTTATTTTAAATTAAATTAAAATTATTTTATATTGTATTTCAAATCATTTGAGTTTAAATTAAAAAAATTTAGATTTTTTTTTGAATTAAATTCCGTCAACTCAAGTTCGATTGCATGAAGCTATTTTTAATTTGAGTCAATTTTGCATGCTCCTAGATTTTAGACAATAATAGCAAATTGTGACACACCGTCGACTTCAAAGCAACAGGGTACCCAACTTGATTGAAATTATTTTTTAATATTTAAAATTTTCAAAATTTAAAATTTAATTATTAAAATTAAAATTTTAATATTTTATAAATAAATTATTATTGATATCTAATTTTATTTGAAATATTTTATTTTTTTTAATTTGATTTAATTTCTGTAATTTGATCTTGATTATCAATTTTTTGAATCTATTAACTATTTATTTTTAAATGCTCAAAGATAAGTTTTACTATGGGTCTTATGATGAAATCGTTGCATTGACCCAAATAATATCTAAGATAACTCAATAAAAGATATAATAAAAGCCTATTTTTAAAATCTATTAATAACTCATTGTTAATCATTAAATAAAAAAACTCAAATAATAAATAATAAATAATATACAAATAATAAAAATATTAAAAAAAAAAACTTGACCCAAAATAAATGAAAAAATAAAGCCCAAAAAAATATTAACTAAATTTAAAAACCCAAAAAAAAAAAACCCAAACAAAAGGAAAAGCCTATTTGACTTAAACATGGGCATACCATCTATTGGCTTCTTTATAAAGCCCACTTTACTTAAACATGGGATGAAAAAGAATGGCATGGCATAAACATGAGAAAAAATTGCTATACACAACATGAAGGACATTATGGCCTGGGCAACGTGGGCGCATAAGTGTCGGTAGGAAGCAAAAATCGATAGTAAAAGAAAAAAAGAAAGTAAAATAGTAGTAAAAAAATGAAAAAACTAGTAGTAAGAAAAGAAAAGAAAAATGGGAAGTGAACCTGTGATAACGAAAAAGGCAAACAAAAAAAAAGAAGAAACCAATGAAAAAACTCGAGCAAAAATCAAAAAGAGAAGTAATAACGGGAGAGTAGCTTTCAACAGTAAAAAAAATAAGGAAAAATAAGAAAAAAAAAAGAACGATAGGCGAGAAGGAATGTGAGGAACTAGATGAGAAAAAAGGAAGAGAAACGAAACAAAAGATAGTAGGCGACATAAAGAAGAACTAGGAAACTAGCAAAAAACCCAATGGAAAAGGCGTGAAAAAAGAAGAAGATGAGAGCCATTCGAAAATGAGAAAACCAAGCAAAAAAAAAAGATAAAAAGCTTGTGAGAAATCAGAGAAATGGAAGAAAAGAGAAGCATTCAGGGGGTTTTGGTGCATTCGAGGAGGAGAAGAAAACAAAAAAATTACAAAAAAAAATGTGAAGAAGAAAAAAATAATGACAACAAAGAAGAAAGCCACGCAAAAAAAAAAAAAGAAGAAGAAGCTAAAACTGAAAAACTAAATAAGAAGCTAAAGCAAAAAAGAAAAGAAGCATTTTGCAAAAAAGAAAAAGAAAGACATGCGTTGAAATGAGAAAATAATGAAAAAAAAAAGGAAATGGCTTCAAGAAGACTACAAGGGAAGTATGTAGTAAAAAAAAAAAAAGATCAGAAAAGAAAAACATTAGAAATGAATGAAAGTTCTCCTTTTTAAACTTTGGCATGTTGAAGAGTTCTTTAAAGAGGTTTGTTTTAGTTTTTTTTTTTTTTTGTCACTTTTCTTTTGCTTATCAAAGAGTTCCTAGGTTCTTCTTGAATGTTGTCTTGGTTTGAGTAGCTTGTCAAAATGTCATGTTCTGTTTATGAAAAAGAAAAACTTTTTTTTTCTTTATAAATAAAAAACAAGGAGAATGAGGGCATAAAATTTATGGTATTTTGGATTATTTTGGGATTAAAATGACTTGAAAAACCAGAGACAAGTAATGGGCTGTAAAAACAAA